TGCAGGGTATCCGTGCCCCTACCCAAGGATCTGGGATATCAGCCACACTTAATTGTCGGGTGATCTACCCTTACTAGTTGCCGTAGTTGTGGCTCTAGCCGACCCAACTGAGCGGACGCAGGCTGAGCTTGACGCAGGCTTCCTGGCCGACTTCAATCTCATCCGTAGTTTTTCCGCTGAGAAGCCGACCTTATGCGTTCTGTTCGGGGAGTCACAGTAAACAAATTGTCATGCGGACGCATACATTCTGCGTTGCCGCCGGCTAGGGTTTGATGCTTTGGTGCGTACCATAGTAAGTCGTAGGTAGCGACCACTCGAGTGAGTCATCCTCATCTCTGAGCTGCGCTCCCTACACATGTTCGTGTTCCCGATCCGTCGCATCACAGCCTTGCCGGTTTGTGAGAATGGAGGAGGATCGGCCGGGAAGACCTCACAGCGGTCTCGACCGTCGGCAGCCGGTGGTGATGTGGGTCGCTAGGTCGGTCGGCCGGTCTGGCCAAGCTGGCAGGCAGCGTTCATGTTTGTTGGACCCCACGGCCACGGTTGAAGTCGGAAGTAGGAATTGACATGCAACGGACTGTAGATGTTCAGTCCTTGGTACGCGCCGGTAAGGGGGCTGCACTTGCACTTCAAGTTTCCGTAGCAAAGCCTTCTAACTTCCACATCGGTTTATCGAATTGCATTTCATAGCTCTCTCTGATCGTGGTTTAGATGTGAGCCCTGGTCTGGTTGACTCGCGTATCACTCTTTTTTTTTCCCCCCCGCATAGACGATGCAAGCTGAATACATACATTTTCTATTTGAGGACATGTCCGCCGCGCCGGATTGTTTCCGCCAACGCAGCAATCCAGATCAAGCACCGCACACGTACAGACTGATGGAGTCATTGCCGATAGCGATGCAGTGCCGTCGTTGATTGATCCATACCTAGTGCAAGGAATCATCCGTAGTACGCTTGGCGCTGCAGGTGTCACTGTGTCAGAGTCTAGAGGGAGAGGAAAAAAAGAAAAAGAAAAAAAAGATCCTTAAAGTCCTAAACTACTACGGGATGGGGGACTCTCGATCCTTTCTGTCATGCAGCCAAGAGTCCGGGCCTGTAGGTCGGGTACGTTCTGGTCTTCGGCTTTCCCATGCTCTGAATTTTCGAGTTGGTGGCATCCAATTGATTTTCGTACCGAATACAGGCCCATGCACACCGGACAAGCGCCTCGGACTGAGTAAAAGCGACGATTAGGTAGGGTGAATTTCTCATGTGTCCTTCTCTGCGGTCTTCGTGGTTCCCCTGGCCTGACTGCGCCTCCGCGGCTTAACCAATTGAAATGCGCATCTGTGTGGCTCAGCCTTTGATGGGACGGGAAGTGTAGGCATCGGAATGACATCCCACAACCCGAATCCGACTGACCGATCTCGGTTAACAAGCCACACTCAGGAGCATCGGGAACCTTACGGATTGATTTCCTCTGTTGGTCCATGGGTGCCACAGCCGGTTTGACAGACGCACAGCGAAGGCCGCGCTTACAAATTAAGCTCAGCGAGCGGCCCCAACATTTTGACATTCAAAGCCGCGGCATGCAGCGTCGGTAGCTCCGGCACATCAGTCTACGTATGAAGCGCACCCCGGACCAGCTTGCCCACCTATTCCGCATTCCGCGCTTGGATGGGGTTTCTGGTTTTCCATCCGACTTGGTAGAGGCACGGATTCTTTCCGCTGAGTTGACAACCTTGGACCGAAATCCTACGTATCGCACACGTATTTTGGTTTATTACCCCGGCCCATCCGCTTTTGCCGGTTGGTAGTCCACCTCACCCGGGCGAAATGCAACTATCATGGATACTGCGTTTTCCAATCGTTCCATTCTCAGGGTGCGGATCGCTACACATGTGTGCGTGTGCATAATGGTACAAACTCATGGGCTTGACTCACCACGGGCGGCGCCGCGCACTCGCCTTACGTCCGGAGTGCACAGCGCCTGTCATCGGACTCGTCACCTTACGCGCTTCGTTGTCGAGAGGGAGATTGCCCAACAACCTGAGCAATAATTTTGAACACCTGCGTCGAAGAGGGCTGCAAGGCACGACTCAAGTCGGGTGGCAAAATCACACACACCTGGGAGCTGTGGGCTTTTCCAGAATGGTATTCTTCTTACACCATTACACATAGTGGACAATGGCATTCCCGCCCCGCTAGCTGACAGCACAAACAGCGATGGAGAAAAAAACGTCAGAATTTCCCGTCGATCCCTTGGCCTGGCCCAAGGGGCTGGGGCCTGTTCCGTGGAGATCTAAAATTAGTGGGTTCCCGACTGGTGTGTTTGCATCGCAGCAGAGACAAACCTTACTCGACTGGCTCAAGCCCTACAAGATAAGGTACCGGTGTCGGCAGGTGTTGGTTGGTGTTGGCGGCCTCGGTCTTTGCGTGTGGACTGTGGCTTGTCGGCGAGCCAGCTTTGGTGCAGGTATCCGTATCCGCTCCTAGAAGTTAGAAGTCTCCAGCAGGAATATGGGGGTGGCGCATGCATCCCCTTCAACAGTACCGGCCGGCGCCATCCGAAGTCAAGCCCTGCTGCTGCTGGAAGGCACAAGGCCTATGAATGTCTCAAGCCTTGGCCGTTGAGCTTTTGTCAACTGCCTCCAACCGCGTCCCTGCATTTGTGTACTTTGATCCGTCTCTTCAAAATGCGAAAATTGATGCATATTTCTGCTATAAACCCTGGTCCTTCCAGTTGAACCCAAGGTGTGGCTTGGCCCTCGTCTCACTCGTCCCTGAATGTCTCTGTCCGAGCTTCAGCCGCACTTTGCCTTCCGCCAAAGTAGCATCATCAACCCTGCATGCCTGCCTTATTCAACTGTCTTCCTTCGCTAGCGATTCCCGAAGAGCCTGGTTGGGTGGCTCTACTTGTTCGCGCTTCTACGCTCCGCTGGGTGCTGTTCTGCGGCGGTGCGCGTTTATCGTCGTCACTCATGACGGGAAACCAACGGTCGCTAGGCCTCTCCTACCTTGGCTCGTAACTCGACCTTCCGTCCGAGGTCCCACGAGTCTTTGTGGCTCAGTCATGCCCATGATGTCTCTTCGTCAAAGTGCAACATGTCTTCCTGTAGCATATCCGTTCACCACAGTAGCTTGCGTGATCATGATCTTTCGAGGTATCTGCACCGTCTTGATGCGGATTCGGACCTAATTTCTTAGAGATATATTTATTAGCGACTAAATATCCCTACAACCCTCCAGAACTATTATACGCCTGGAATTATACTCTTAGTGGAACTGTTGCCAATGTTCTGGACACATGATGCCCGAGATACGGACATGCCAGGTCTGAAGTGCCACCGCTTCATGGGTGTTGCGAGTCACGAGGGTCATCATGTCTTGGTGTGCGACCGTTAGCATAACTCCAGCGACCAGCGCCTTGATTCGAGCGAGGTTTGAACCCAGTTGTGGTATGCTTGCCGCTCACTTCTTGGCCGTCCTGATGTAAACACGAAGGACCCGTTTGCGCCGGTATCCTGGTCAATGTAGTGATAGTAAATCCACTGCTTGCAGAAGCACGGAATAAAACGAACTTAGTCGGCATGTTGGTAGTAAGACCGACCAGCCCGGTTTGATACGCACGACGAAGTGCGGTAACTTTCAGCTTCTTGCCAAACATGCGATGATGTCCTTGTGAGGTGTTCGTGTGAACCGTGATGCTACCAGCAGTCTGTAAATCATTCCTACTGGCGGTCAATTCCTACTGGCGGTCCCCTTGTCTAGTCATATCCCATCATTTCATTACCCGAACATCCTCAACACACTGGGTAGCTTTCCAATCGATGAAGTGCGCGCCGACTACTATTCATGTTGCTTGCTCGTCCGGTACGGCTTACCCTGGCTTTTCCATTCGGCTTATTGGCAAGGCGCGCTATTAATATCACACATACCCATGCCATTGATGATTGTGTCGATGGCGCTGATGTCAACGAATAATAGTAATCATTCTATCCGTAGATGCAGGATTCCAAACGAGTCCACAATGGCCAAACCACACAAATTGAATATTTTACTTGTGCGGTATTTACGCCTCGAAGGCACTACTGGGGAAAATTGAGCTGTGATGACTATCTCACGAGGAATCTCCGGGCTTTGCCTTTCGCCTTCGTGATCAGCCAGTCTTCGTATATCTCCATCATATGAGAGTGATAAATATTCATTATTCACATCGCTGCAAAAGTATACTTCTCATGAGATCAAGCGGCAGCTGGATCCAAATGGAGCTACATTCAACTCTAGACCAAGATGAACCATCAGAATTGGAAGACACGCCTATCGCGACTAGGTTCGTCGAGACTGACGCCAGGATAACTCCTTGAAGGAAAACGGCAATCACGTGGGCGAACATCTACACCAAACGAGCATGTACAGAGACCCAGTCCTCACTCATCATTCTAGAAGCGTAGCCCGTTTATGTCCAGGAAATCTCTAGCCCACCAAATTCATTATGAACTCTGCTAACATAATGAGTCCTATAGCACGGGACTCGCGAAGATTTCCCTTTCACATAGGTTGACGCCGATTGAAAGAAAGCGTGTCATTTCGTAAGCTGTGGATCAAACGCGTGATACTGTGGCATGGCCTGCCGAGGCAGTGGATAAGGTAGAGGTAGGCTGCCAACTGTGTTGGCAAGCCAAGGAAACAGAGAAGATCACGAGCAAACACTGTGGAGTCTAAATCGTGCCGAGCATCATCTTATGCACAGCATCACAGGACACAGGAGCAAAAAATCACAACAATAACTAGAACGTGTGTCGGCGAGTGATCGATCATGTCTCAAGCCAATCAAGCCATCCATGTAGAACCCCGTTGTTTCCCGTATGGTACAGTAGAACACCCAAAACCAGCCAAACCCATATTCATTCGTGACAAAACACGCCACTCCCAAAGTCCGTTTGTGCCACCGCGCCTCAAGGTAGATCGCGTCGTGGCCCCAGAAAGATTCGTAACCGACATGCAAGAACAAACACGCTTAACCACCGAAACCGTACAGGGTGCGGCCTTGGCGCTTCAGCGCGTAGACGACATCCAGAGAAGTGACAGTCTTGCGCTTGGCGTGCTCAGTGTAGGTGACGGCGTCACGAATGACACCTTCAAGGAAAGACTTAAGGACACCACGGGTCTCCTCGTAGATCACTAGGGAGGACCAAGTTAGTATGAGCTGTTGATGCCTGACGAAGAGCAGCTTACTGGCAGAGATACGCTTGACACCGCCACGACGAGCGAGACGACGGATAGCAGGCTTGGTGATACCCTGAATGTTGTCACGAAGAATCTTGCGGTGACGCTTGGCGCCTCCCTTTCCGAGGCCCTTGCCGCCCTTGCCGCCTAGTAGAGGAATTAGCATGAGAACCCGGATATAGACTGCATCAATGGCAGCACATGGATGTACTCACGTCCAGTCATTGTGTGTAAAGTGGTTGGGGGTTTGTAAGTGTAATGTTGATAGTGAGGCTCTGAGAGAGATGTAATGGGAGGGATGCGAAAGTGGTTGCGTGAGATAACGTGGGGCTGAGTTGGGGAGGAATATGGTGAGTGACGCGAAGAGGGGGAACGGGATTTATATCAGCAGGTCGCGGGCCTGATGAGATTCGGGATCAGCCAAAAAAAAAAAAAAAAAAAAAAGGGCCATGGTACGTACTCCGAGCAGTGCTCCCGATGCGGGCTGGACGCGAAAATCAAAAACAACAACTGCCTTTTTCTCTGTGCACAGACCAGTTGGGGCAGCACGGGACAATTACACTGTACTTAGCCAACCAGAAGCCATCCCTTACTCCATCCACATCGATCTGCTCTAGGTACCAAGGTAGTGTGCTAGTGAATGCGGCCGCCTCGCACTGCTAAACGAGTTTTGCACGCGTTCAACACGCGCGTAGAAACAGTGGACTGTCAGGGTATTTCGGGGATAAATACACCTCTGGCGATGAGAGATATCGTACAGATGTCTCACATCTTTATTTCTATGCTGCATTATGCCAAAGTTGCGTTATTGGTACAGGGCTACAGTATTCAGATGCCTATCCTAGAGCCATGACTGCATGCGACAGCGGCGACTTGCACGTCTCCTGTGTCTTTGCGTTTGGACAGTGGGGACTCACTCCAAGGTCAACGCCAGATGCATGCGAATGGATTCAACGTCGAAGCGGAAGAGTATTATCGCCCCCGCCGCATGGGTGATGGATTTAGCACGAGCCTATGAGAAAACGAGTTAAAATTCCAAGCTCGTATGCCGCTGCACAGGCGCCATCGACTTTTCAAATGGGCAGACGCAGAAGTATGGGTCTGCTTCTGCCATCTGGCAGTTTAGACGAACTGTGGAAACCTCTTGTGAGTGCGACACAGTACATACGGTCTACTACGCGCCTGCGCCTCCCCAAGGTTCCCTTCACGCGACGCGGCGGTTAGGTTGTGGAACTTCGGGGTAAGAGCCTTCGCCCACGCACGCTTGGTTCCCTGCAAGCTCATCGCGCAGTGGTCTGCAGCAGATAGAATACCTAGTGATCTCTCTTCTTACTGTTTGTTCGGTGCGTTTCAGTGTTCGATGTTCAGCGGCCGCGGTACAAAGCGCCCAGATGATTCAATGAACAAGCAAGCTATTGTTCGCTTGACCCAAACGCGGTAACTTTCGGTATGAAAGTGCACGTAATTTGCTTGCCATTAAAATGGTGACCTCTGCGCTTGCAGCAAGAATGCCACGACTGACGTAGACGCGTGACAGCGGGCAGCAGGTATTAGGTCGCGTCCTACTGCTTCTACGTACTTGCTACCGCGTCAGACAAGGTGAGGCGTGATTGAAGCGCCATAGGGCCTGCTGCCGCATCCCGCATGTCCCACGGACAGAGTGACAGGGAAGTCGCAAGGTAGCGTTTGATGGGGAAAAGTGAGGATACTAACTCTGGGTAGAATGCCTGTGGACCGGTACGTATTAACACCTACCTACCTTCCGGGTCTTGGGCCGTGGGAGTGGGACCTTGAAAGATGGGGTGGCGTCGCAGATGCCAGATTTCCAGCCAATCAAAAATCAGCCATCCACACTTCGACAACAAAGCGTAGAATCCCGCCAGCTGCGCCTGCCTTTTTCCAAGTAATCGCACCTGCAGAAACGGGGTTTTTCGAACCGTCGCGCGCAGACGCACAGGCCACCTCCCGTCTGGCACACAATCACTCCCCTCCGCAGCCAGCCCAGTTTCCTACCTATTTATTTCCCTCTGCCCTCCACCCACTCCAACCTTTTCTCTCCTCATCCACTCACACCCACCGCCTTCAATCAACACACCAACCTACATCTCAACCACACCCAAACCATCAACTTCATCACCATCAACAACAGTCGCAATGGCCCGCACCAAGCAGAGTACGCACTTCCTTCCTGGCCCAACCTGCCAACCACTCGCACAGCGCTGACTCTTTCCTCACAGCCGCCCGTAAGTCCACCGGTGGCAAGGCTCCCCGCAAGCAGCTTGCTTCCAAGGCCGCCCGCAAGAGCGCCCCCTCCACCGGAGGTGTCAAGAAGCCCCACCGCTACAAGCCTGGTACCGTCGCTCTCCGTGAGATCCGTCGCTACCAGAAGTCCACCGAGCTTCTGATCCGCAAGCTCCCCTTCCAGCGCCTGGTAAGTCCCATGCGCTCGCTTCACACGCTATGAAGGTAACTAACCAACACCCTCCCAGGTTCGTGAGATTGCCCAGGACTTCAAGTCCGATCTCCGCTTCCAGTCTTCCGCCATCGGTGCCCTTCAGGAGTCCGTCGAGTCTTACCTCGTCTCCCTCTTTGAGGACACCAACCTCTGCGCCATTCACGCCAAGCGTGTCACCATCCAGTCCAAGGACATCCAGCTCGCCCGCCGTCTCCGCGGTGAGCGCAACTAAACATTGTCTTTCGATTTTCTCTTATGGGTGGTTCATGACTCGCGCTTTGGGAATGCTTGACGAAGGGACCGTCTTTGGTTTTTGGGGGTAATCTGGCGTTACGAATGCGTTTGATAACAACGCAAGGGTTGTACAATTAAACAGCAGCAAAGGATGGCTGCAAGGAATGCCAAACACTTCATGATCTATACCTTTTGTTTCGTGCCTACTGTGACGTGCTCGTTATGATAATGTTTCCGATTGCGGGCCAGAACTCGCCTCGCTACGCGTCGCGCATGAGATAAACAATAGATGTGCCGCGATCGCATCCCCAGTCGGTGGGGCCTCTGTCTCTTTACAGAGGGATCCGCGCCTTACCGCACTACTGTGACTCATTTTCGTGCTCTTGCGTGTAGAGTATGATTATGTCCTCTTCGACTGAACGATACTGACCTACCTGATGCAGAGCCAGTGCCCGATCGTCAGCAAAGTTCCCTGCCGAAGCGGATCCTTACCCGTCTGACGAGACTTGCAACTTGTCTGCACCCTGATAACGTAGCTTCGCCTGGGGGTAACTGAGATGTGATAGTAACTCGTGTTCGTCCGATGAACATAATTCTGCCGCTACAACGATGAGAAAGGCTTGGGCTAAGCCCTGACTTGACTGCATTGAGACCTAATGCCCCTCTTCCGTTCTACTTCTACATGGTCCTCGCCAGGGCCCAAAAGTTGTCCATCTTCGATCTGGTTAAAATTTCTTTGGCCTCGGCATCAGATTCGCACACCTTACTTCCCCATTTGCGAAACGCCCGTGTCTTTTCTTCTCCTTCAAAGACAAGCTTGCATTCGTTTTGCGACATGTCTCTCAAGTCCCCATTCTCATTCTCCGGAAGTAACCAGTCTCGCGCCTGTTGCCGTGTGGCGCCCTCGCGCGATGGCGAGTTCTCTGTCCAGTCGATTCGATTAAGCATCAGTTTCTTGTACTTTCCGATACTATGCTCCCCCCCCTCTACAATAACCAGATTCATCTTTGGGTGCATGATGCAGACGCCAGTGAGAGAGTGTTGCTCAGCGTTCTTCCCAATCTTGAATCTGTGCTGTCCATTCGCAAGGCTGTTGATCTTGAACACCAGAACGTGGATGCCTTTGGCAGCATCCTTCTCCTGGTTGGCGGCAAGCTTGTCGTGTTTTTCCTCCTTGGTGAGCTTCCGTTCCTCATTGGCCTCTAGGTGCTTCTGTTGCCGTTCCGCAATCTGGCGATTAACTAGATTCTCAACCGCCGTGGGGTCCTTGACTGCCGAGTCTGCATAGACTCGCATCATGTTGCTCTTCTTAACCTTGGGCGGCGGTGCTGGCACAAGGCCAAGCCGGATCTTTGCTTGTTGCTCTTTCAGTTCGGCCATCCTCCCCTGCCTCCGTACTTTGGCTTTCTCCTTCGACGTAAGAAACATGGGTTTCGGTGCAGGTTTGTTTCGCTCTTGCGGTGGCTCTAATGCAACGGGATGCTGAATATACTCGGTGACGATTGTGTCCTCCGATGTGATCTTGAGGTGAATTTCATCGTCGATGTTGTCATAGTTACCGCCATCGACGAGCCCTTCATCAAACCATTCGATGTCCGGAGGTGCTTCAACCACAAGGTTCTTCTCCAGATCTAATTCCTCGTCGATGCCAGCCTTTCTGGTCTGCGCGGCGATCTTCTTCTTCAGTTCCTCCAGCGCAGCCTGTCGTCGCATCGCATTGCCCTGCTGGATGAATCTGCCCCTTGGATGGAAGTTAAGGGGGCGAGACTGTCGCTGCCGGCTTCCTGTGGGTGGACCCGCCTGTTGGTCGTTGAAGTAGGGGTTTGGTCTTGTATTGTCTTGGCTACGCGCTGAAGGGATCGACGACCTAGCGCCAGCCAAAGACGATGAGCTGGAGTCAACCTGAGATCGATATGGAGGAGCTCTATCACTTCCACGGCCCGAAGACTGAACCTGCCCAAGACCTTGAAGGGCAGGATGCAGTCCAGCCTCAGGGACGCCTTTGGCTTTGCTGCCCCCAATCGCCGCTGCCACCCTTGCTTTCAACGCAGCCATTTTGTCGGCAGCGGTTTCGGGCTTGTGCACTCGAGAGTTTGGATCGTGACGAGGCCCTAGGCCGCTTGAGTCGGAACGTCGATCCATCGTAATTCGTTATGACGGAGATATTTGTTGTTGCGCGTTGGGGATCTAGTCTAGAGGTGCGGGCTTCCCTTTCGAGAAGGCAACGGGGGTCGGCGAGCGAGTAGTACAGTCGTCGGCTGTGATTTCTGAATCGGCTGGACGGACGAAATCAAAGTAACGAGCGTGCTTTGATGGGCAAGGGGTAACGCATATGCATGCGATGCCTCGTGTATGGCGTCGCAGGCCTGCAGGCTGGTGTAAACAGTTCTTACATAAGGGTGATTGCCGAGGATTTCGTAGGCATCTTCTCACTACCTTATTTCGATGTTGCCGCGACACCTCTCGACAGCTCCACTATTGGCGGGTCTTTTTTTCTGCCGCGAACCACCGCCAAAAAAAGTTCCCCTCTGCCTGCCTTCCGCCGACACTTGATCACCCACCAGTCTAGTTGATTTTGCGACCGAGCTGCCTGTACCAACCCGACCGACAAGACACTGAATGGAAAATTTGTTTCCCTCCGCCTCACCCTCTGTATAGACTCAGATCGGTGTCAGGCTAGTTCCTGAAGCCTCATTGGCAGCATGAATATCTCACAACCTATCTCGTCGTCCGTGGAGACAGTCGAGTTCACTTTTCTTACCGAGGAGGAAATCAGAGCCGTTTCCGTCAAACGTATTGAGAACGACAGCACTTTCGATAATCTTCTCAATCCTGTCCCCGGTGGTCTATACGACCCCGCGCTCGGCTCCTGGGGCGATGCTCTGTATGTTTGTCACTGCAATCGACTCTACTCGCTTCAATTGACTAACAAAAACCCTGCCAAAGTTGCGCGACCTGCAATCTCAACCAGTCTTCCTGTCCTGGCCACGCCGGCCATATCGAGCTCCCCGTCCCTGTATACCATCCGATCTTCCTCGATCAAGTCCTTCGGCTCTTGAGGTCACAGTGCGCTTATTGCAAAGGCTTTCGCATGCGCCACCGCGAAATCAACCGCTTCTCGTGCAAACTTCGACTTCTCCAACATGGCTTGCTGCATGAGGCTCATCTTGTTGATGCCATTGGTGAGGAGCTCAAGGGCCTTGCGATGCCCGGCGTCCCCACCGATTACGACAGTGAGGCCGAGGAAGAAGGCACTTCCACTGTCGACAACGTCATTGGCGCACGCGAGGCCTTCGTTCGCCAAAGTTTGAAGGCTCACAAGCTAAGCCTGGGAGAGGTGAGGAAGGGCAAGCACGAAGGGTCTATTGAAATGCGAAGGGAGCTCATCAAGGAGTTTATGGTGCAAATAACCAAGCCCAGAAAGTGCGACAACTGCGGTGGCATTTCCCCGGCCTATCGAAAGGACCGTTTCGTCAAAATCTTTGAAAAGGCCCTCAGCGAGAGAGACCTTGCACACATGGCTCAAAGGAACCTGCACATGAAGGACTCGATGGCAACCACTGCCATGACATCGAAGTCTACGACGACGCGAGGCTCTGATCACGACGACGAAGGCGTTGCTGATGTCGACCTGGCCTCGTCTGAAGAGAACGACGTCGAGATGCGCGATGCCAGCAGCAGTGACGAGCATCGCCCTATGGACAAAGGAGACGAAGACGCCACCAATGTCTCCCCGGGACAGCAGCGATACATCAGCGCCATGGAAGTTCGTGCTCGTCTGCGAGAGCTATTCGAAAAAGAGCAGGAAATCATGTCTCTGATCTACAACTCAAAGCCAGTGACTAAGAAGGTCGCTAAGATCACGGCTGATATGTTCTTTCTCCGCACAATCCTTGTTCCCCCAAACAAGTTCCGACCTGAAGCTCGTACCGGCGACTCGATCTCTGAGGCTCAGCAAAACTCTCTGTACAAGAACATTCTGCGGAACTGTGTCAGTATTGCTAGGATACACCAGAACGTCGGAGGTACGGATCAGTATGGAAGAGCGAGAGACATCAGCGACCTGCACCAGATATGGACAGAATTACAAGAGTCCGTCAATTCCCTAATCGACAAGAGCAAAAACCCTGTGCAGGGCGCAGCGGCCAAGAGAAATGAAGACGGTATCAAACAAAAGCTGGAGAAGAAGGAAGGTCTTTTCAGAAAGAACATGATGGGAAAGCGAGTCAACTTCGCTGCGCGAAGTGTTATCTCTCCGGATCCGAACATCGAAACAAACGAAATCGGCGTGCCTCCTGTTTTTGCACGGAAGCTGACTTACCCCGAGCCAGTCACAAGCCACAATTTCAGAGATATGCAGCAAGCAGTCATCAATGGTGTCGATAAGTGGCCAGGCGCTGCGGCAATCGAGTACGAGAATGGCCAGATTGTCAACTTGCGGTCTAAGTCGACTGATGACCGTGTATCGCTCGCCAACCAGCTTCTCGCCCCTACCAACAACCAGATGAGTGGCGTGAAAAGCAAGAAGGTTTATCGCCACTTGACAAACGGTGATGTGGTCTTGATGAACCGCCAACCAACCCTGCATAAGCCCTCCATCATGGGCCACAGGGTGCGGGTGCTGCCTGGTGAGAAGACAATTCGAATGCATTACGCCAACTGCAATACGTACAACGCCGACTTCGACGGTGATGAAATGAATATGCACTTTCCCCAGAATGAGGTGGCTAGAGCCGAGGCTCTTCAGATCGCCGACACGGACCATCAGTATCTGTCTGGAACTGCAGGCAAGCCCCTTCGCGGATTAATTCAGGACCATCTTTCGGTATCCGTGGCGCTCTGCAACAAGGATACTTTCTTTGATCGCGACTCGTATCAACAGCTTATTTACTCAGCGTTACGCCCGGAGAGTGGCCACATTCTCGGTGAGAGGATTGAGCTTATCCCACCCGCCATCATCAAGCCGATTCCCAGGTGGACTGGCAAGCAGGTTGTAACCACCATCCTGAAGAACATTAAGCCGCCAAATGGCGAGGGACTGTGGATGACCGGCAAAAGCCAGGTTAAGGGCGAGCAGTGGGGTAAAGGCTCGGAGGAGGGTACTGTACTATTCCAGGATGGCCAGTTCCTTTCCGGCATCCTCGACAAGGCCCAACTCGGTCCCAGTTCAGGCGGCCTGATTCATGCTATTCATGAAATCTACGGTCCTGCGGTTGCAGGCAAGTTGCTGAGTGGCATTGGCCGACTTCTTACGAGATACCTGAACATGCGGGCATTTACTTGCGGTATGGATGATCTGAGGCTCACACCTCAAGGCGAAGTATCTCGAAAAGAAACTCTCAAGGCTGCTAAGGGTATCGGTCTTGAGGTTGCGGCCAGGTACGTGTCTCTGGAGGACAATAAGCCCGGCAGCGATGACCCAGAACTTCTCACTCGCCTAGAAGAGGTTATGCGCGACGACAGCAAGCAGGAAGGTCTCGATATGCTCATGAACCAGAGCTCTGCAAAGGTTTCTAGCATGGTGACAGCTGCTTGTCTGCCGGTCGGTTTGGTTAAGCAATTCCCGAAGAACCAGATGCAGTCGATGACAACATCTGGCGCCAAGGGTGGCCAAGTCAATGCTAACCTCATTTCGTGCAATTTGGGACAACAAGTCCTTGAGGGTCGAAGAGTTCCTCTCATGGTCAGTGGAAAGTCTTTGCCTTGCTTCCGGCCGTTCGAGACAGATGTTCGCGCTGGTGGCTACATTGTCCAGCGTTTCTTGACGGGTATCCGGCCGCAAGAGTATTACTTCCATCACATGGCAGGCCGTGAAGGCCTTATCGACACCGCTGTTAAGACATCTCGTTCTGGTTACCTGCAGAGGTGTATCATCAAGGGCATGGAAGGACTGACGGTTTCGTACGACTCTACTGTTCGCGACGCCGACGGCACATTGGTGCAATGCTTGTATGGCGAAGACGGGCTGGATCCTACCAAGCAGAAGTATCTCACCGACTTTGGCTTCGTTCTCCGCAACATCGGTTCCGAAACGGCTCAGTTGAATTTCGGAAGCGAGTTCAAGGACAGGTTTGCCGGCAACAAGGACGACGTTTTGAAACACATGAAGAGCGCCATCAAGCACGCCAAGGTCGACATCGCCGCCAAAGACCCAATCATTTCTCTCGTCAACCCTGCCAGGGTGGCTTTCGCCACGTCCGAGAAGTTCTACGAGAAGATGTCCCAGTATATCAAGAACAATGAGGATGGCCTGATTCGCGACAAGTCTAAGGATGTCTCTGGTCTTATCAACGCTCCTGCCGTGAACAGAAAGTCAGCTGAGCTCGTACTCGCCGCTAAATACATGCGTTCACTCGTCGAGGCTGGAGAAGGTGTCGGTATCGTAGCTGGCCAGAGTGTCGGTGAGCCTTCTACACAGATGACGCTGAACACATTCCATTTGGCCGGTCATTCAGCGAAGAACGTCACGCTTGGTATTCCCCGTCTTCGCGAGATTCTCATGACTGCGAGTCGATCTATCTCCACGCCGTCGATGACTCTCCTTCTTCACGAGGAGCTCTCCGCAACTGAGGGAGAAATCTTTGCAAAGTCCATCAGTGTGTTGCCTCTGGCCGATGTGCTTGACACCGCAAGCGTCAATGAACGCATTGGAAGGGGGCAAAATAGCGCGCTGGCTAAACTTTACGATGTCCGACTAAACTTTTTTCCCTCGGAGGAATACACCAAGACCTACGCGATCGATGCCTCTGATGTCATGGATACCGTGGAGAAGAGGTTCTTGGATCATCTTTTGAAGATAATGACCAAGGAGATCAAGAAACGGCGAAGTGAGTCCAACTCAGCCACGCCTGATATCGGTGCCAAGGCCGGCGTTGTCGAGATGGCGACAGGCAATGGAGAGACAAGAGGTGGCGGGGACGACAACGACGATGACGACGATGACGGTGATGGCGATGCGACAAACGCTAAGAACAAGGCAAATCGAGAAGAAGCCGTATCCTACGGACCCAATGATGACGAAGACGACGCCATCCAGCGACAGATGGAGCGCGAGGAGTCAGTGGAAGAAGATGAAGGCTTTGGCGGCAGCCCAGTCCCCGAGACTCGGCAGGAGGCTTCAGACGAGGAGGAGGAGGAGGCAGAAGACGATGAGTCGGAAAGCGAGGGCGCCTGGAGAGCTGAGCGTGTGAAAGAACGGTACCTTCGTGTCACGCGTTTCAGCAGCGACGAGGCCGGAGAATGGTGCGAGTTCACGCTCGAATTTGAGGCAGATACTCCCAAGGTGTTGATGCTCAATATCGTGCAAGCGGCAGTCAAGAAGTCAGTTATCCAGCAAATACCTGGTGTCGGCTCGTGTACCTTCACTGCGGACCACAAGACGACGGACCCCATCACAGGCAAGGATATTTCAGTGCCAGCCATTTACACCTCTGGGGCCAACCTCAGGGCGATGCAAAAGTACGGCGACTTCATCAACCCGAACAAGACCGCAACGAACGATATTGCTGCCGTCCTGGACGTGTATGGTGTCGAGGCGTGCCGGACCAATATTGTCTCGGAACTGGCCGGCGTTTTCGGAGGTCACGGAATTAGCGTCGACAACCGCCATTTGAACCTCATTGCCGACTATATGACCCGCAACGGTGACTTCACACCCTTCAACCGCAACGGCCTGCGCGGCAACATTAGCCCATTCACCAAAATGAGTTTCGAAACAACTCTTTCATTCCTGAAGGATGCTGTGCTCGACGGTGATTGGGATGACCTCAGGACGCCAAGCAGTCGCATCGTGATGGGCCGTTTGGGCAGGATTGGAACGGGTGCATTCGATGTCCTTACTGCTCTGCCGACGCATCACATGTCGTCTCATGCGGAGTAGCCGACATGCGAAGGTGTTTGGTCTATGTTTCGCGTTCTTCTGGGTTTGCTCACAGAAGCCCTCGGCTGATAATTGTATTTTTTTCATCTGGAATCGATAGAGAGGCAACGTGGCTGCAAAAGTAATCAAAATGGAATTTTCAGAGGCTTTGACGGATTGAAATAGGTAAGCGCCTGCGGTGCAATTCTGTTGGTGACTTGTAGCTTGAAAAACAACATCTTCGAATCGCACGTGGTGCAACTATCTATCCTCCGGTTGTATGCGCCAACGGCCTGGGCTGGGCGGATGCTTAGGGCGGGGACTATAATCTCGGTTGTGCATTGCTCGTGGGGGAGATAATTCGTGTTCTCAGTGCATGCGCAGCCTAGGACAGCAGACAGCACGATGACTTTGTGGAGATAAGTTGGGAGGAAATAGGAAGATGACAGAGGTTTCCGAAGTTGACAAGCATCAGGGAGCAGACGAGTCGGTGGTCAATGATTTATGAATCTATCGCCCAGTAGCCCTAAGCGCGCGCATGCTTCTGCCGTTCCCTCTTGCACCTCCAAAGCAGAGTCGCGTCGCGGCGTGATCGTCGCGGCGTGATCGTCGCGTCGTGTAATCAATACGAACCATTCTTCCATAGCAACTTCCAGTCTAGCCGCTAGACTTCTTGAACCTGAATGAACGTTAGTTAATTGAATTTGGGTCGCCGACCGGCATTATCAATACTTACTTGTTAACCACGCGCTCGATGCCGTCGAGGCCGTTCTTGAGGGTCTCCATCTTCGGGCCGTACGAGAAACGGACAAAATGGTGGCAGGGGCTGTCAAAAAGGTCACGGCGTCTGGAAGGATTCAAGTCAAAGAAGATGCCAGGGACGACGATGACCTTCTCCTCCAAGCAAGCCTGGAAAAAGTTGAGGCCGTCCGAGATGGCGTCAGGGAGGCCCTCCAAATTTAGCCAACTAGGCATGTCAGTTCTCAGCTTGCTCTGTCTTTGGTGGTAGGAGGAGCGGGGACTTACAGATAGAAAGTGGAATCGGGCACGTATTTGATGACGAACCCCATCTCGCGCAGTCTGCGAACAACGTAGTCACGCTTGTCCTGCTCATTCCATCAGTACATGTTTGGTACAGTCAGATCACCATACATACGCGGAAATGCTTCTGAAGGAAGACCATTTCCTCCTTCACGAGCGTCGGGTCAAGCATGGGAATGGCAGCCTCTTGGAAAGGGTGGTTCGCGCCACCATCAAGGTAACTCCCACAGGACCCGATACTAGAGACATATGTAAGTAAGCATGTCCTTTTGGATCTAGGAACTTTTGGTCTTACGCTTTGATGTACTCTGTGGGGTAACTTCCGTTAGCATGTGTCGTTTCAATTGTTTGATTGCGATGGCATACCCTTGGGACCAAGAATCCAAGCAATACGCCAGCCTGGAAGTCTGAAGCGCTTGGTCAAACCATCAATAATAAGGACATCATCCTCGTCGACGTCCTCTACGTTCTCCGCCGCGGAGATCGTGCTGCCGTCGCAGTTGCTAGTATAGTTGTACCCGGAATAGAATTCATCACTGATGAAGGTGGCACGACCACGGCAGATATCTTGGATCTCAGCCAGCTCGGGGTTCGCAACGACGCGACCAGTGGGGTTGCGGGGATTCGAGGTCAGAATGACGGAGGAGCCGCGGGAAATCTCTTCAGAGATACGATCAGGATGGATATGATAGCCGTCCTCCTCCGCAAGAGGAACAGGAATGGCAGAGAACTAGGAGAACCGTTAGATTATACGATTTTTATCCGTGTGGAGAGGGGGACGCACGTTCTTGAATAGGGAGAGCATCTCGTTGTACGCCGTGTAGTCAGGCAAGAAAAAAGACAAGTAGGAGTTTCCGAGAATGGCGGCAATGCGGATCAGGCCGGCACGGCCTCCAGGGACGATGGCGACGTTCTCCCAGGTGTATTGGCTCTGCTTGCCCTGGCGATGCATGACGTTGTACAGGTTGGCTACAGCCTCGCGAAGAGGCTTGATGCCGGCTGTGGGACCATACTCACGACCGGCCATGGAGATGTCGATAGTTGTAGGACGAGGAAAGCAGCCGGCGATATCGTCCTCGACTTCGGGGGCGCCCTGGCCCAGATTGGCCCATGAGTCGGGGTCCTCGAGGAAACCGTACTCGGCAGCGCGCTCAGTACACCAGACAACACCGGTAGAGGAGCGGGAAGCGTCGAGACCAGCGTGGGCTTGATGGCCTTCGTGAGCATTGCGAAATTGTCTATGAGTCTTGGATTGAACCTCTGAGAGGTCGCTGAAATTAGCTTGAGATCAGAATACAAAAGGTTCCTCCTGTAACCGCCGCCCATTGAGATGCTAAAAATGTCACTGAGCTCGAGTTGGAGCAATGTGGGGAACGAGGGGCAGCTTTGCTGGGGACAAGAATTTGGAGCTGAGGGCACCAGTTCAGCTCATACCCCGCACCAGCACCAAAGCTGGAGGACAAGCTTTTCCCCTACTGTCTGCCTCTTACTGACAGCTTGGTCTCGTTCTGATAAGTGCGGCAGCATCAAAAGGCGAAGAACACGCAGCTCTAGCCGCGATCCGGGAGGGAGACGGATCAATGAATGCTTGCTTACCATTGGCGCTACTCTCGCCGACACTGAAGCGCCTGGGCTTAGGCACACCGGTGTGCCGATTGATGGAGAATTTGCGGTTGAACATGATGGCGGTAGACAACGCAGTTTGTCGTTATTTTGGTTGTTGACGTCGAGAGGGTGAGGTTGTGGGCAATTTGCTGCTTGAAGGAGGGGGAAAAGGCAAGTAAGTGCCTAGCTAGGACTCCAGTCAGGTTGCAGTTGGTTGCCGCCCCGTCTGTTTTCCCGGGGAAATCGACGTTGTGCGATTCGCAGGCCTGGTAGATCGGGCAGAAGGGGACGGGAGAAAAAAGAGCAAGATCCGGATAGAAGGTCAGCTGCCCACCATGGTCAAGGTGAAGCAGCGAGGGGCACACAAACAATCTTAAACGGGCAAGCTACGAACGGCTTAGGTTCTTCTCTTCACCGGCACTTGGGCCCTGGAGTTGGCTAAGGGATCCCTGTAGGTCAGGAATGCAGCTTTCATGCAGGCTCTTCCAATTGTGGATTTCGTTGGGCGTGGAGGGAAGATGATAGGCTAGTTGCTGGCGTTGCCAGTGTTTCCCACGCTGAAGATGGCAGCGGGACTATCACTTGACGAAGTTGCAATAAAGGGCAGATGTTCTTCGAGCAGAGATCAGAAAGGGGGTTTAAAACAAGCCTGAGCAATCGAAGAAGGCTGGAGACCAGGAGAGCATAGTCCCCGCGCCGATCCTGCTGTCTCGATAGCCAACAAGCTGCGTTCCGAACGTTGGTCGAGGCTGGGCAAAGCTGGAGCAGAACGGAACAGCACTGAAGCTTTCTTTTCAGTATTTTCATTCGGCCTTTGATTCAACTGATTGCACGAAAGGAAATAGCGGTGTCCACTATCCATGGTCAGAAGCGGATCTCTGCATCGCCAATCTGTACGTCCACTCATTACCTATCCGTGCTGCCGTGCCCAACCGGACCGGGAAAAGTTGGCATTCCTGTACTCCGCTGAGATAGAGTGCGATAGACCTAAAGAATTTGCACAGCTTGTTACTTCTTGTTGAGGACACTGTGTAGCTACAGACGCCCTTGAGAGTTCTGCTGCGCAATAATACCATGAGAGGGATTCAGGACATCTGCTGTCGTTTTCGGCCAGGTGCAGCACCGCAAAAGGTCCAAAACCCTATCGACCTCGCCCGGGTCTTTTAGGGCGCTTAGATTTTCGTCGTGGGTCAGGGGATTTGGTTATTGAGTCAGCCCTTTCCCTCTTACCGCGTTTTGGAGGCACTGACGGCCCCCCCAGAAAAGGTACCGGTCACGTGGTGCCATCGGTGCCATCGAGCGGCATGAACGATACGAAGCCATAAGGCGCGACAGGCGGATTGAGCAAAATCTACTACATCTGAGGCGCGGTCGCTCAGCCTGGGGCGCAGCCACTGAATGCGTTCACCAATAGGATCGCACGAACCCAGCCGCCTCCCAGATGACCACAGCACCGCCACCATGGTCGGACACTAAGGTACCTAGGTAGGTAGGTACCTTGGGTGCATTGTGAATGACTGAACCACAACCATAGACAGCATAGGTCCCTCTTGGAGGAACAACCAACGCATTGACAAATATTTCAACTTCTCAAACTCAGCGCCATCAAGGCATACTGGCTGGGCTTTTCAAGTTGAAAGACGGTGGTATAAGATCAATGATTGAGTTCAGCATTGACACAGAACGTTGTCTGTCATCTCAAACGCCAACCCCATAAGGAACCAACCAAGAGTCGAAGCAGTCTGAGCCATACTAGTAATCTTCTTTTATAACCTTGAGTGACAAACAAGGAGACCTGAAAAGCAAAAACTCGAACTCTGTTTTTGCTTTGTGAGTTCCTTGAGGACCCTACCTTTCGAGACCGACGACACCGACCAACGGCCCCACCTGCCTTCTTATATCAATCCAACGGCCAGACCTCCAGCACCTTCACAATGCCTCACTTCACTGCAGACCTCTACTCCCCGACATCTTGCGACGAGCACCAAAAAAAAAAGCGCAAATCCATCTTTGGTTGTGTGAAGGATAAACTCACCCGCAATTCGTCGTCCTCTTCGCAAAAGACCAAATCCTCCGCACCTCCCACAACCATGCCGAGCAGTCATAACCCCTTTACTCAGGCTCAACCGGGAAATGGTAAGTCATGATCCTCGCTCACAAAACGCCTGAGATTTCTCAAGCACCCATTGACCAATGAACAGGCGCATCTGTCGATCAGCCGCCCCCTGCCTACTCGGTTTCTGCTCCGGCTCCACCAGCCACCAGCTTCCTGGGGCCCAACGGCGGTCCGGTTAGAAGCCCCTCGCCTGCCCCCTCCAATGCTGGCTCCATCAGCTCTGTCTCTGGCATGAGTGTTTCGACCCCCGAAGACCCCTATGCCTTCCTGTCCTCCTTCGATACCATCTTCGTTGTTGACGATTCCGGCTCTATGTCTGGCCGATCTTGGCCCGAGGTTCAGGGTGTTCTGCGCGCCGTCACCCCCGTCTGCACCGCTCACGATGCTGATGGCATTGACCTTTACTTCCTAAACCACAAGACGACTGCCAGCGGTAGTGCCAGGGAAGGCAAAGCCGCTGGTGGATACTACGGCATCAAGCGTGCCGACACGGTCGAGGGCATCTTCACATCAGTCCGTCCCCGTGGCGCTACCCCTACCGGCCAGCGTCTTCACAGCATTCTCAAGCCATATCTGCAACTGTTGGACTCCAAGAAGCACGACGTTGAGAGCGTAAAGCCCATCAACATCATCGTCATCACTGATGGCGCTCCCTCCGACGATGTCGAGTCTACTATCATCACTGCCGCCAAAAAGCTCGACAAACTTGATGCCCCTCTTCACCAGATCGGCATACAATTCTTCCAAGTCGGCAACGAGCCCGGCGCCCGGGAGGCCTTGCGCGAGCTTGATGACGATCTTTTTGACAGAGTTGACGGCGATCTTCGCGACATGGTCGACACTGCCACTTGGGAGAATGGTACCAGGGGTGTTCTGACGGCAGACAGCATCCTGAAGGTGGTTTTGGGTGCGGTAGTGAGACGGCTTGATCGTCGCAGGACTAGTGGAGAGGTCCATCGCTGAGACAGATGAGGTTATTTGTTCTTCTCTTTTCTGTTGCCTCTTTTTAGCACCCTTGGCATCAACGGCGTTAGGTACGGTGGATAGAAGAGTCCGTTTTGTTTTAGACCGGACGGTGCAAACCAATTGATACCCAAACAGGAGGTCCTCTCTGTTTGATATTTAGAAATAGAAGTCAGTTATACCTACGTACCTCATGTCGCGTTCGGTTATGTGAACCAGCCATCATCAGTTTGCGCCTGCAAGAATTAGAAAACCGTAATTAAATGAAAAAGGAAATTTAATTTTCTTCAAAAAGATAAGGGAAAAAATAAGGAAAAGTCGCAGGCCTGGAGAGCCTTGACCAGCAATATGCGTGCCGAGGGAGGAGGGGGAGAATACATGTACATGATGTTCAAAAGACTAGACACTGACACGATAAGCATGGGGCATGGAAACTGCCAGAAGTGAGTGACCTGACCCACTTCACAGACGTCTTACCTTTGTTCGACGAACGACAGACATACTTACCCTCGCAGCAGTCGTTCACCACCACTACATAGGACGTTCGGTTTCCCAAGGCCCGACTAGTACACGCTCAACTCCTTCGAAATCTGAAAGCCAAACGCCCGGATGGGACCGTTTCACAGAATCATTCCACGTGGGTACGCGCCACTGCGAAACCAGACACGCCAAGCCTCCAGACCATCACCCGCCCTGATCACTGTTTACGCCGTCACCACCACCAGACCTATTGGATTAAATACAAGAATGATCACATCATCGACATCTCAGTCGAAATTGAAACCAGCCTCGCAAGAAGCCGACCGCGTGGAGGCGGAGGTGACGAGAGCTAGCGTCAACCAACAACAGCAAATTCTCCCGGGCGAGGACCACTGCCAACACCACCCCACGGAAAGCACGTCACCGGCCCCTGAAAACACGACATCCAACCCTCAGGCAGAAAGCTCTAGCACCAACAATTCTTCCGGTTCTAGCCAGCCTCATTCCCATAGTCATCTGGCTTTGCCGCCGCTTCCCGAGGCGCGGTCTAACGCTGAGTCCATCACCCTTGACTTGGGGGGTCAAGTAGGAGGCGGCGCATCGACCAAGCTGGATCACCTGGGCCCCCTCGTGGTTCACCAGGACGGTACGATGTCGCGAATAAAGAACTGGGGTGAGATGACTAAGATCGAGAGGGAAAGCACGATGAGGATCATTGGCCGGCGGAATCAGACTCGCCTGGCCAGTCTGAGGGACTGCGTCGACAGCGACAGGAAGGAAAGGCCGAGAGCAGCAGCAACGAGAGACGATGAGAATTGAGGGTCTACGGTTTCACTGAATATTGATCATATTCGTGTCGCCAATTTTGCCTTCCGTCCCGCTGGAGCTTTCGTCGCAACCACCGTCTCCACCCCTACTTTATCGCGTCTGTGGCCACCTCCTGGCCGGCCTACCTGCCAGTGAACTTCCGACGCGGTAGCATTTCTGGTGGCGGAGTTATCAGCAGAGGTGCCAAATCCTTTAGGCCATGTGTCGGAAATACATATACAAGTTTTTTCCCTTGGCCTTGATGACTATCAGATCGGCTTGGTTGGCAGATGGGGAAGCTCGCGGTGATTTAAAGAAGCGGGGACGGCATGGAAGAAAAGTAGAAATCCAATGAGTAGGGAGACCGGGGACATGCTCCCAAGCACTCTGATTCCCGGTCGAACTCACCGAAGGTCATGTATGAACCAGTCGCTGCTCGTTCTCCCAGTCACCTATACGTTCTTCGATCTGGGTTTGTCGTAGCGAATAGCTATCAACAGTCTCATACAATTCATTGGTGAGATACTCTACCACGAGTCCTGATCATGAGTCCGTGTCGGTGTACATAGATTTCGTCACATGTTCCCAATTAGAGCCGAATTGAAACATAATACGCCCATCCAAGCCCGCCCTCTACTTCCCACAGCCATCACCTGTCCCTTGATAGTCTCCTAGTGTTCCTTTGATCGCACGCCATCTGGTGCCGGGAAAAATACCAAGATCGTCAGCATGAAGCGTAACGCCCGCAAGCGACCATCATAGAATCAGCCCGTAAGTGGTGAAAAGGTCTGCTGGCTATTTTTCCTCCTTCGGCGCGTCCAAGGTTGTCGTGGGCTTTATGACCGTCTTGGATTTATTCTGGAAGTCCTTCAACATGGATGCAACATCCTCATTGCCCTCATTCTTCTCCATTACAAGGTTCTTGAGCCAGCGGTTTTCGGTTTCGAGCAAATTGATGCGTGCCTCTAGCTGAGAAACCTTGTCGGACATTTCCTTCGCGCTCTTTTCGAGAGCCTGCTCGCGCTGCTTCTTCTTGATACGGAAACGAGCGCTAGCGGCTGTGTTTCTCCTGCGCTTGTCCTCCTCGGCGGCGAGACGGGACTGCTCTTCAAAGCTTTGGCCAGGTCTGCCACTGGTCAAAGACTCAGGGGTACTGTTCTCGGCTGGACGCGGAGCGGGCGCGCCATAGTGATGGTTTTGCGGCTGCTGAGAAACCGGAGGCGGAGCATAGGTGGTTTGCGGATTGGGCTGAAGAGGTTGAAGATTACCCAGACCTTCGGCAAAGGGGGGGACACCCGAAGCAGGGTAGTGGTTGGTAAAATCGGTGAAGCTGAAGTCGCCTGTCATTGTTCATGGTCAGATGGGTGTTCAAGGCAGGTTATCGGTTCCTAGCATCGTGGCGTCGGCGAGACAACGGGATGAGGGGGAAGACGGACGGGCAGAGGTCTTCGCAGGAGCAATTGCATCCGCGAGTCTTAATGCTGGTATAACAGGGCCTTCACCTGCGAGCACTTGCTCTATCCGTCTGTGATGGCGGCTGCCCAGATGGTCGATGCCCCCCTGCTAGGGTCGATGACGGCAAGTCACGGGGTATTGCACCATTCCCCAGACAATTTGTCATCTGGAGTCGCGGCTCTCTCTCAACACCGCAGGCCGGCAAGCTGCATAAGGAGCTGCTAAAACTCCCAATCAAGACGTCTCGTTGAAACATGGGCCGCGCATGAACCGGGTGGGGTGGAAACAAAAGGTTTGAAGCCTTGAGATAAGGCATTCTAATGTGCTTCGCTGCGACCCTGAAGATAAATCGAATCGGTTTTCTCCTCAACCTCGGCAGTTAGAGTTTACACACAAAAGCCGCTTGACTCATGCAAATCTGGATCACCACTCTGCCCCCTAGTGGTCGTCTGCACAGAAAGTGAATAGAAGCCATCAGGTAGTCGAAGAACTGTAGCCACTCGGCCCAGTTTCTGCCGCAACCCAGAGAGCGTGTAGAACAACATTGACATAGCCATCAGAAGTACAGAAAAGCCCCTTTGTGCCATAGTCGTTTGACATGACTCCAAGGCATCAATCTGGTGAGTACGAGCGAGTTTTGTGCGACTAAATCCAGGAACTGGCAATGTGCAGGAGCGGCGGCTTCAAAAAGAGACAACGGGAAAATCCCATGCCAGAACGAAGAAAACACCGGCTCACCTGGCAAAGAAAAATCGACATTGCCAAACTCGCCGAGAGGAGAAGTCAAATCCTCGGCGGCGGCGCTGGACGGGGCCTGTGTCTCCGTCTCTGGCTTCGCGGGCTGTGCCTGATAATCGGTTTGCTGGCCGGTCTCAAAGTCGAAAAAAGAGGAGTTGGTGAAGACGGCCAGATCCTCTTCGAAAGTGAAGTTGTCCTCGTGGCTGGACTCCTTTACGGTGTTGAGATCTCGCAAGAAATGCGAGACGTTGGGGGCACGCCCACCACTGCTGTAAGGCGACATGTCGAAGGCCGGCGCGGCTCGCGGCGAAGCGAATCCGGGGTGGTTGTTCAGGTCTGCAAGATGACAGAGGAGCGAAGTGGCTCGGTCGAAGCCAGGCCTATGGCGCGGACGTCGAGTTGTTTTGTGGTTGCGAAAACTTGGGGCCTCAAGTAAGGGACGGCGGCGATGGCGTTTGGAGGGGCAGTGGGCTGTTTTTGGATGCTGGACCCCCAAGCAACTAAAGTGCGAAGTGCTATGCGCGGACCAACCAATGCGGGAAATGGCCAGCCGGCTTCGAGTTCCAAGTTTCCGGGTCTTTTACCACAATTGCGAGAAGTATCGGTGGCGATGAGACGTCGACGCCAGAGGTAATTGTCGCCTCGTCAATCGATGAATGGGATGTCGGGCGAGGCAAGTAGCGAATGCTTTGCGAGTGCTGGACGGGTGGTGAATCCGATGCTGGGGAGTTTAGGAAAGTGGGTGAAATGGGGGAGGAGAAGTCGAAAATGAGAAAATGAAGCCTTTGTTCGTGGAGGTCCCGGCTGCGGACACAGGCCAAGTGGATTGTATTAGTCAAGTTCTTTACCCGACAGCGCGCCTTCCCAGCATCCAGGGAGGGGCCCGGAACAAGCACTGCACTGTTGGCTCGCTGAAGTAATTGGCTGGCAATGTGTCCATGTCCTTGAGAGCACCCCACGCAGCTGCGCGCCACTGCAGGGAAGACACTTACTCTTGAGGTAGAGGTGAGGTACCTATCCTACCTTAGGTGGGCACCTAGACCCGACGCATTACAGACTAAGTACAGAGGGAGGCGCGGCCGACGCCGCTCCGGATAGGTACCCAGGCGGAGACTTCACCACCGTAGGTACTTCACTCTTACCGCGATGACGCCCCCCACCCGCCGATGAACGGGTCGATATCCGGCAACGACAAGGCTAATAGCAAAGGGCAGCTTCTGGCGACATGTGCTAAGCTTCTACACGGCACGGCAGCGACGACGCGGCCAAGTACATATAGTAGGGCCGTGAGATCTACGTACTCCCATAACGTGTCTTTGGGTTCTGGGCCAGCGTCCATCCGTCATGAACACAAAATAACGAATCATCGCCCGGGAGAAGCTTTGCCCCCCTCCCTCCCTCGCGGTAATTGCGCATCTCTGACCTGACAATCCTCGATTCTGGGATGCTTTCGCTTGACGTCTTCTGCTTGCAATGTTTGCTGATCGGCAAGTCAGACGGAGGGCGTCATTCTGAGCCATTTCTCCAGGTCTGCTGCATCAGCACGGAAACGAGAGACTAGATTTTGGGCCACACGAAACAGTGTTCAACACTACGGGCAGTTTTCAGGGTGTTCCTGCGCCCAGTACGGCGGAGTAACAAAAACGTCGTTGAGATGGATCAGTGAGGAGTATTAATAATTCCTCCAAAACTTGAGAGTTTTGCGCGTGCGGTTTTTTCGCGCCGTCACTGGGTAGCACTTCGATGAATGCTATTCTGCTGAAAATGGCTCGATATCCTGAAGGTAAAGGCCACATCCGCGCTGCCTACTATCGCACATGCCAGCGCCCCGGCGCCAAGCCTCTCTCCGACCAACAAACCAACCAACCTCCTTACCTTAGTCAACGACAGACGAGCCTGACCCTAAAGATGAAATCCCGGAAGGCATGACTCGATGGACTGTACACACTATACCCTAGTACCCAACCATCCTTTCGCGGCTTGGCTGGGCGATCTGCGTTCTTTCCCGTAGGTCCTTTGGGAAGGAAGCCAAGGGTCCTGAAAATCCGAATTTATAAGCAGCTCCGACGCTCGGAACACGACAGGGCGTGCGCCATGTTCAATATTGCTATGCAAACTGCAACCAACGTCCCCTTGTGTCGTCCCAGTTAGTGTAGGTGCATTGCACCCCGCCGGCCTGCAGCACCTCAACGTCCCCAGCCCCAAGCGAACGTTGATATGGAGTGCCTAGTAGTGAAAACGAAGTCCGAGGTGAGGTGAGATCCTAGACAGCTCTCAGAGCGGCAAAGTCCTTCCCTATGCGTGTTCTGACCTTGCCTGGAACTTGATTGAGTACGTAGCGACGTAGGTAGGCACCTTCACAACCTAAGCGGTATGATGCCAGGGAAGGTGCCTTAGGTTCCCGTCCAGGTACCTACCTTATGTAAGGTAGTAGGTAGGTAGAACGGGCGGGTAAGCAGCCCAGCCATACCTAGCACCCTTGTCCCTTCAGCGTTTCGCATGCACGACGCGTCCCCGAGCAATAGACCATGGACACTTCAGAGCGCGTCGTTGCCCGCCTCGTTCAGCCTCACCAACAACATTCAATTCTCGCATCGGCTCAAAACCGTCGTCCCTTCAATTGACAGTCATTTGAGGGTCATGGCTCGATTTTCGATTCCCACCAAACGGTCCCTGTCTTCAGATGTTCGACTTCCGACCTCCAGTGCCGCAGTCCAGAAAGCTCTTACCAGGCTTTCACGCCCTTCTCTTCTCACGCTGGCCTTGGATTGGATCAGCGATGAGAATGTCTCTTTATGTGTACCGCTTTTAGGCGACGATGTTGATGAGGACGGGTCATACCAGCCCGCCACGTCACTCGAGGAACTGCGCGCTATCTACAAAGATTGGCAATGCAGGAATGGTTCCAAGAGGGAGGTTCTCGACCGGGTGACAGAGGGCGATTGGCAGCATGGCCTAACTCTGTATCAATTAGCCATGGCAGACGCACAGTACCTTCAGGATCACCCTTATTCGCAGAGATGGACTGCCTATCGCATTTTGCCTCTTAAGGACATCTCTACCGTGGACGACGAGCAGCGTCTCCCCGACCTGGATAGAGAGTCATTGAAACTACCACGCTTTCATCCCTCGACCTTCATACAAAACCTTCAATCTCACGTCTTACCAGACGTCAAAGCTCACTATCATATCCATCGACCGCAGGGCCTCGCCATGTCGGTCTTGCGCATTTTCATCATCGAATCCCCTTACAACACTAGCATGGCCCACCTTGGAGATAGTCTCGCGCCCCCAGACTCCGATGTTGATTGCTCGAGGACACTCTACATGGCATTTCCAGATGCTTCACACTACATTTACTTGTCAAAATCACAGACCATAGGGTCGCTAGGCGCAGCAGAGTCCAAAAGCTTCCGCAATCTAGTTATTGAGGGGATTCCCAAGGCGTTGTCTCGGCCACGAGAGAGGTACATGCTGAAACCCACAAACATCTCGACCAAGAATATTTCGGCCCTCCTACATGCAAGAGGTGTCGGTCGTGCAAACTCGGCTGGCGGCGGATGGAATCTCTATGCCGACAAAAAGAAGAACGAGTCACCGCTTGACAACACGCTGCCCACTCCGCCGTTGTCTGAAGAATCGACCGACGAAAGCTCGAACCCGACGAAAAGGACGGCTAACAAAAGGAACGGTGACGCACTCTATGACAGTCACTGTTCGTTGAAACGGGCTCGGCTTTGCGCTCAGGCGAGGTTCAGTAGCGCTGCCAGGCTGGATGACGGCTTGGGTATCGAGCGCGTGGATGTTGTCATCGAAGACCCTTTTCCTGTTCGACGAATATATGGTGTGGATGACGAGGAAATGGGTAGTCATGTCTCAAACGACGAAGTATCGGGTTGGATTCCCAATGTGAAAGTCACTCTGTATGGGGCCCACGTGTTCGCTGGCGTACGACGGCTGGTTGAGAACGGTATTGTAGAGGGACAGCGGATGCCGGGATGGTTAACAGGCGAAGAAGGAGTCACCCTTGGGGCTGTGCGGCACGGAAGAATCAGAGGGCACAGAGGGTCTGGATTATAAGACGAGATAGACGGCCGAGGCTTAGATCGGAGCATCTGGAGAAGGGCCTGTCTTGTCACGATTAGCGTAGCGCCCTGTCGCATTTCTATACCCCCCATTGCCAGTCCCCTTGATGCAATCAACATCGTCTATTGGTCTACGCCAAAAACCTTGACCGTGTTACTCCAAGCTACCTCGCAGACTTGCTCAACATCTACTTCCTTAATGCCGGCCACAGCCTTGGCAACTCGCTCGATGGTACACGGTTCATTGCGGCCCTTGATCATCGCACCTTCTTCCCACTTCTCCTTCTTGACGACCTTGAAGCGTTCCGGCACCTCGGACTCTTTCTTTTGGTTTTTCTTCTTCGTATGGGGCTGCGCAGCAATATCCGTGCCTGCAGTGGTACTGAGACCATTCACATCTGTCTTCCTCTCGATCAAGTACTTGTAGCCAAAGTGACTAGGCCGAATCTCGCACCAAGGGCCGTCGGTCTCCAACATCATCTTATCTAAAGCTATCTCTTTGACGACTTTGCAGTTCTCTTCGGTCTTGAAGCTGCAGCCATTGATGCCGATATAAAGACCTAGATCCATCAGTTCCATGGCCTCCTCGATAGTGCCGGTGAAACTGTGAACAACGCCGCCTTTCTCGAGCTTCTCAAGTCTCTCGCCAAACTTCTGCTTGAGCAGGCTCACAAAGTCTTGGTGGGCGGCTCTGGAGTGTAAGAAAAGAGGCAGCTGAGGCTTGATTTCTAGAACGAGATCGAGCTGTGAAGCGAATGAATGCAATTGGATGGACCTTGAACAGTAGTGCAGACGGTCATAGTCAAGACCAAACTCGCCCAAGGCAACGAGACCGGCGTTGGAGGCAGCCGCATGATTGATAAGGCCTCGCAGCTCGGAGATTATGGCCTCTGTCTTGGCAGGGTCTGGCTGATGGTGCTCGGGGATAGCCTGAGCTGGATCGGGATCGGAATGTGCACCCTCGGCACCCTCATCTAAAGTGCTGAAGATTGCACTACTGCATGGATGGATGCCGATGGTGGTGTAAACGATGCTGGCTGAGCTGTATGTCAGCATGGCTCAACATAGTGCGTGTTATCCGTCATTTACGCACGATACTGCTTGGCGATCTCGAGGGCATCTCGGCAACTGGTAAAGTCGGACCCGGTGACAATCAGCTTGGAGCAGCCGACTTGCTGTGCCCTGCGGATGACCGCGTCCAAGTCATCAGGATGGCGTCTCTTCCCATGATGCATGCCGCGGAAAATGGGATCGGCCAAGTTGATGCCGATCTAATTATCAACTACGGTCAGGTCATGCTCAAAAGCTATCAAGTGCAAGTGAGGTTACACACATCAATGTACCTTGGCTGAAAAGCCGACTTGGGCGCGTCTGCGGCCGCCATGGTGACGATGGAAGCTGACTTGAGAAAGGCTCGTCGTTGTTGAAGGAGGGGTATGATCCAATGGTTGGGCCGTGATGGTGCTATTGCAGGCGCATGGAGCCTCATGAGGAGCCAGGAAAGAACACGGCACTGAGACAAGTTCGACCCTGAGCACCAGTTTTCCTGGAATTTATACCACACCAAGGCAAATTACTAGGTAATTCCGTAGTCAGAGCTTGCCTCGCTATTTGGCCTCACCACTCGGCCTCACCAGATCACGTGAGTGCGTGATACGCTGCAAGCATTGTCCACTCTAGCGACACGCGTTAAGTGCCTGCAGCTTTGACGAAAAAAATCAATTAAAGAAAATGGTACATAGCCGCTTGGAGGACACATGAGCACCTGTTGCATGTTTTCACAGGATCTCCAGTCCCGCCACTTCAATATTTCATTTCTTGATCAAAATTCTGACGCAGATGCAAGAAATTAAGCAAGACGCTGAACTGAAGTCATCTCGCACGTTGCAAGCGGCAACCCGACTCTGGCACGAGCACCCTCAGTGGAGTTTAGTCGTCTCGGGACTTATTTCGAAGGCTAGGTAGGATTAGTCAAGCTGTTGTTGTTGTCTCCCAGGTTGGCTGGGGAGTCGGATGCGAGGGCAAAGACCGCAAAACCGAGGGGCGGAACTCTGACTAAGGAACAGTGTAAGGAGGTCGGACGGTGTTTTTAGCGAATCATGTTCGTAAGAGCGTGCTGCCCCTCTCTGGCTCAGGCGCGTCGCGCGTACGCGAGCGCGAATTTAGCATGGACTGTGCCGTCTGGCAACGACAATAAATCTGCAGCACTTCCTGACCCTCTCGTCTTTTTTCACCCTCCTACAAGCAACAAAACCACCACCCTTTCTTGACGTCTTGGACAGAGGCCTCTGATACCTTGGTGTTCTCGACACTCCCTCATTCGATTTATCTTCTTGCTCCCGTGTTGCGTGTCCACCGCTTTGACGGCTCCAACAACCAACGCTACCTCCCCCTTTATCCTCACTGCCGAATTCAGGCGCCATGTTCGTGAGGAAGCGCGGTACGTCCATCGCAGACGCGTACCATGAATCTTTAGTCTTCTAACGGAATACAGATGGGCGCCAGGAGCGCGTCCAGTTCGACAAGATCACGGCCAGAGTGTCGAGGCTATGCTATGGCCTCGACATGGACCACGTTGACCCGGTCGCCATTACCCAAAAGGTCATATCTGGTGTGTACGGAGGCGTCACAACTGTGCAACTTGATGATTTGGTGAGATCTTACACCTGATATTCCCGCTCGCTTGTCAATCGCTAACGTGGTCATCACCAGGCCGCCGAAACTGCCGCCTACATGACTGTCACACATCCCGACTATGCCATCCTTGCTGCCCGTATTGCAGTCTCCAACCTCCACAAGCAGACGAAGAAGCAATGGTCTTCAGTCGTCAGCGATCTCTACCACTATGTGAACCCCAAGAATGGCCGCTTGTCCCCGATGATTGCGAAGGAGACGTACGATTGTGTCATGAGGCACAAGGAGGAGCTTGATTCTGCCATCGTTTACGACCGCGACTTCAACTACCAATACTTCGGCTTTAAGACCTTGGAGAGATCCTATCTTCTCAAGCTTGATGGCAAGATTGCCGAGAGACCACAGCACATGATCATGCGCGTTGCCGTTGGCATCTGGGGCGACGATGTTGAGCGCGTCATTGAGACATACAACTTGATGTCGAGCAAGTGCTTTACCCACGCTTCGCCCACATTGTTCAACGCCGGTACTCCCCAGGCACAACTGTCGTCCTGCTTTCTCGTCGACATGAAGGAAGACTCTATTGAGGGCATCTACGACACTCTGAAGACCTGCGCCATGATATCAAAAATGGCCGGCGGCATTGGTCTAAACGTCCACCGCATCCGTGCCACTGGCTCCTACATCGCCGGCACCAATGGCACCTCCAACGGTGTTACCCCTATGCTCCGCGTCTTCAACAACACCGCCCGCTATGTCGACCAGGGTGGCAACAAGCGCCCCGGTGCCTTTGCCATCTACCTCGAGCCCTGGCATGCCGACGTCTTCGAGTTTTTGGACCTCCGCAAGAACCACGGCAAGGAGGAGGTCCGTGCCCGTGACCTTTTCCTCGCCCTTTGGATCCCTGATCTCTTCATGAAGCGAGTGGAGAAGAACGGTGACTGGACACTGATGTGTCCCAACGAGTGCCCGGGTCTTGCCGACTGCTATGGCGAGGAATTCGAAGCCTTGTACGAGAAGTACGAGCGCGAAGGCAAGGGTCGAAAGACCATGAAGGCCCAGAAGCTCTGGTATGCCATTCTCGAGGCCCAGACTGAGACCGGCAACCCTTTCATGCTCTACAAGGATCATGCCAACCGCAAGAGCAACCAGAAGAATCTCGGCACCATTCGAAGCTCCAACCTTTGCACGGAAATCATTGAGTACTCGGCCCCTGACGAGGTCGCCGTCTGCAACTTGGCGTCCCTTGCTCTCCCTTCTTTCGTGAACTACAGCGACGGAATCTATGACTTCCAGAAGCTACACGATGTCACCCAGGTTGTTGTTCGCAACCTGAATAGGATCATCGACGTCAACCACTATCCCGTCCCGGAGGCTCGCAACAGCAACATGCGCCATCGGCCCATTGGCCTCGGTGTCCAGGGTCTTGCTGATGCATTCTTGGCTTTGCGACTGCCGTTCGAGTCGCCTGAGGCTCGTGAACTGAACAAGAAGATCTTCGAGACCATCTACCACGCTGCTCTCACCATGTCAGTGCAGCTAGCCAAGGAGGAGGGCACCTATTCGTCTTATGAAGGCTCCCCAGTCTCACAGGGCGTCCTTCAATATGACATGTGGGGAGTCAAGCCCTCCGACCTCTGGGACTGGGATTCTCTCAAGGAACAGATCAAGCAGCATGGTGTGCGTAACAGCTTGCTCGTCGCCCCCATGCCAACCGCCAGTACTTCCCAGATTCTGGGCAACAACGAATGCTTTGAGCCTTACACCTCCAACATCTACCAGCGTCGCGTCTTGGCTGGTGAGTTTCAGGTTGTCAACCCTTGGCTCCTCAAGGACCTCGTCGACATGGGCTTGTGGTCTGATGCCATGAAGAACCGCATTATTGCTGAGAATGGCTCCGTGCAGAACATTCCCAACATTCCCGCCGAGGTCAAGGCCCTGTACAAAACCGTCTGGGAAATTTCCCAACGTACCGTCGTTCAGATGGCCGCCGACCGTGGCGCCTTTATCGACCAGTCCCAGTCCCTCAACATTCACATGAAAGACCCGACCATGGGCAAGATCACTAGCATGCATTTCGCAGGCTGGAAGCTAGGGCTGAAGACCGGCATGTACTACCTGCGCACGCAAGCTGCTGCTGCCCCCATTCAGTTTACCGTCGACCAGGAGGCGCTGAAAATTGCCGACAGCAATATCAGCAGTAAGGTCCTCAACAAGAAGCGCGCGCCGCCGCCAGGTCATATTTCATCTCCTTCCACGAACCTGGGCCCGAGGCCTATGTATGCAAAGAAAGAAGAGGGTTCTTCCCAAGACAACGGCATTCCTACGCCTAGCGTCACGCCTCCTCCTCGGACGGCGCCTGCCCAGAAGCCCGACAACATGAAGGCTGATATTGAAGAGGGCGGTAGCCCCCGCGCTCTCCCTATGGAGCCTGCCGATAAGCTCAAGATAGAGGAGCTTCAGACCCCCGGTAGCAAGACCCCCGATGCCGAGGATAAGGCAGAAGACAGCAAGGAACGTGAGATGGATATCTATTCTGAAGCTGTTCTTGCATGTGAGTTGTTTGCTACACCGTACCCCAGACAGATTCTGACATCCCGACAGGCAGCATTGAGAACCCTGAGTCTTGCGTCATGTGCAGCGGTTGAAACACGAATGCAGTGGACTTGATGGATCTGACGGTTGATGACACGCTTTGATGGTATACAAGAGGTTTGCAGCATTTGGGTATCAGGATCACGGGGGTATTTTACTTTGCGGGCTCAAGGGTGGCATTGGTGATTTCCACCCTTTGCATATTATGTCGGGTTTGGGATGCTCTGATGGTTTGCAGGGATCACAGCTTCTTACCCTAGACCATGTTGTTCGTTTTTCATCGAGTGCGTAGGCATCTTGTTGCAAAGTTTTCCGGCGTTGGGATGAGAACTGGGCCAGTCGCCTCAAGTAGCATAATTTACGAGTGTCTATGCCAATGTCCCTGCTTTAGAAGCCTGCAACCCTTCGCTGTTCTCTGCGAGGGTTCTTTTTATGATCATCGCCATCGGCGTCTCAAGTACGTGGCCAAGACAAGCTTTTCCGTGGCTGAAGACCTAGTGAAACTGTCTCTACGCAACGTGAGTTACGCGGGCGAGGCTATCGACTTTGCTAGCAACGAAGCCATCGTTAACGAGGCTGATAGCTATGATAGCATATACGTCTAACCTAGATACTTTCGCTTAGCGTGTCGAGGTTAGCGCGAGCAGTTATTCCGGACCGTAAGGTACGTAGACTACGAAAATTGTTCTCGGGGCCGAAATCTGCTGTTCCACCCTGCTCGTTTCATGTTTCGTTGCTGGCTTTCCGTAAAGCGCACGTCTTTCTCAATTACTAGCGTGCCATGGGCCGCTCATGTCTTGTTTGTTTCAAGCTCTTACCCATGATAGTATGAGAAGTGTCACGGGCAGAGACAGAATTGATTTGACTGTGTAGATGATACAAGCTAGGTTAGTCAGTTGATTGGCGCCAGCGCCTATATGAAGGCATACGGCGCTCAAAAGTGCTTTTGAATGGAAGGCCGCAGATGCAAACACCACCTTCGAAAGGCGACCTTTCTCAAGTGGGGAAAGCAGGGGCGCAACGATCAGCACATGGGGTGTCAAGTGATTGGGCGAGGTGTGCAGGGATAACACGTTCCTGTCGATTCGCGAAGCCCAAGGTGTCAGGGAGGTAAAAATAAGGTACGGTGAATGGGGCTTGGGGGGCTTGACGATCTCCATTTGTACCGTGTTGGTCGCCTGTCTTGGTAGACTGACACGATATGATGTATGATGCCGATTAGTTCCGTCGTCGAGAATCATCACCGCGCCGAAATATGTAAGGTAGATACAGTGACTGCCGATGTCGATGCCGCAAGCGCCGCAAATTGAGTCATGTCGGAAGGACGTATGGGAAAACCAACCATAGTAGAGTTGAAGACGTCAGATGTTCCCTTTGTGGCTTGGAAAACGGCTGGAGGTTCAATAGCGCCACGTAGATGTGCCCCTGATAGGCATGGTCATATGCCAGCCTTATTCTCTCTTGATCAAACCGGGATACTAAAGGATCTGATTTGATTGTGATGCGCAGGAGGCCACGGTGAGCTAGCCAGGGCGATGACTGACAGCGCGGTTCTCTTGTCGGATTGACGAAGTTTTCTCCCGGTACAGCCTGCGATCTATGCCGCACCCAGATCAGGCCAAGGAAATGCAGGGTACTTAGACCAGGGCCCTCGAGAGTGAAGATGTCGAATCGAGAAAGGCTCGCTTGGTCGGAATGGCCCCTGGCAAGCTGAACGTGGATCATCAGGGCTGGGGTTGTGTCGGTTCAGTGTTTACATTCAAGTACTACTGCGTATGTAGAGAAAACTCTTGGTATCGAACCCAGCCCTTGTACTGAGCTGGACGAGCACAACGGTGGAAGAACAGGTGGTGCGGGTGGGTGGGGACCTGGCGGCCTTGCCGACACACTACCTCAGGTACAGTGTTCCCTTACTACCTTATGCTACCTAGGTGAGCTGACATGCTTAGTATACCTACGTGCGTGACTACCTCGGTACGGATATATTGCCCGTACTGCTACACAGTTCTCCACCCAACGCGCCGCCGACGTGTCGTCCAAAGCTTAGAGGAGGTGTGTCCTGAAGGCATCGATCAAGACGCACCTAGGCTTGGATTAGCTCATATACGCAGTAGAAGAAGTGCAGCGATAATTCTCAAGCTCTGGTGTGAGTGGGCCCTTGGCTCCATGTGCGCCGTGCGGTGCAACTCCAGTCTCCCTGTCCACCTCAAATTGATGCATCCTCCCTGTCTTTCCTTTTCGCCTAGGTTCGTCCAATCACATGAGAATGTACAAACGGGGGGTCGCAGAGACAACACAACATCACGATGCGGATGCTGGGCCATTGGCCAATCACAGAGAAGTGGCCTCCAGTGATTGACCTCATGCCCTTGTGCAAGAGCGATAATAAGTACTACGCCCCTGACCTTGCGCACTACGTAGTAGCTTTCCTTTCCCTGATTCTGAACCATACTTCCCGTCGACTAGGTAAAGTACCGACGGACATTGCTTGTTTGCAAAGGAAGTCATCTACTGAGAATCAGGCTCACCCTCAATCTGGGTATTGTTGACCTCTGCCTCTTCCTTTCGGGCGTATGAAAACACACTTCTGCAGTCGGGAGTGTCACTGCCAATTTTAATCCAACCTCAGATGGGCTGATAATCTCCATTTTTCTGACGTAGGCAGAGAATGCGACAAAAGTAGTTCCCCCGGGGCCAGGAAAACAGACAAACAGTTCTGCAGGCATGCGGTATCGTCACCGCCGGCAGGTAACATCTTCTTCCCCTTAGATACCGCATCATTCCCCGACCAGGACATGGGCCTATGCTGGTCTCGTTAGCTCAGTTGGAAGCTCCAGAGTGGTAGTCTAGAACGTGGCCCCGGCCCTTCAATTATCTCTCGGGAGCGACTGGCTTTGACAGCGTTGGCGCGGGTCAAGCTGTGCCTGAGCTTTTTTGGATGGGAGTGCGACAAACAAAGGCACAGACGCCCATTGGCCACATCCTGACGATGTTTGACTTGCACAACCAGCTGCTCACTGTTTTTGCGTCGAGATCCCAAGGGGTTAGGAACCGTAGAGTCGCAGTCGGTGAAGTCAGTGAAAGTAGCCAGGCGGTCAGAAATACTGGACTAGAGCTGTCAGGCACCGGATCGATGGGCCTAGGGCCTTGTAAGCGTTAGAGTCAAGTCCAGGAAGGTTGAGCCGAGTTTGACCGTAGCTGACGACTTGGGCACGGTACTGCCAGGTCCAGCTTGGCCGGGATGTCTACATTGCACTAAGATAAGGTGCGGATCAAGCGGCACCACCCCTCTTCGGGACGCTCCTCGACTGCTGGGCCTTTCATATTCAGCTTCCTTCAGCTTCTATTCGTTGGCTACCTTAGTGCATCGTGCGCACCAGGGCAGGCGTGCGAAGGCGTCTTGGGCGAAGCAAGCCCGAGACAGGAAAGTAAACATGGTTGAGTACGAGCAAGATGGGCAGGTCTTCGGGGCGAATGTGGGAAAGGACCTTCATGAGGCGTAATGATGTACGGTGCCAGGGTGTGGGATGGCCATGGCCATGCGTGGTGGCATGCCACTCGCAGCTTCCCACGCCCACCTGCCATCTGCAACTTATTAAACACTGAGGCAGCTCCTTCCTCTTGTCTTGCCCTGCTCTGGTCTCCCCCATCTCGCTTAACTCTGCGTGGCCTTGCTTCCTCAGAAACGCGTAGACACCTAAGCGGTCGACCCTCACGACCTTTACCGAGATATTTGACCGTCTCGTACACTTGTCCATCTTCAACAACAGCCTCAGATTCCTCCCTCCACTTTCACTCTCACAACAATCCTAAGGATCACAAGTTGCCTCACGAGGCACCACAATAACTTCAGTAGGTAAGTTACTGAGATACTGGTATTTACATGGCTTTGCCCTTCCATCTATTGGCCACACTCCCTTTGCACCTTCCTCACCACAGCACCATACGATGTTCTATCCTGCCTGGCAATTCGGAGTCTTGCCCATTTCTTTCCCAGTTTGGAGTGGAGGTGATCCAAGAAGTGGACTTGCAACACTCACCTGCCCACGGTGCTCTTGTGCAATTTGAGGCCTACTGATCTCCCTCCTTCCCGTCACACTGCACCTTCCTCCAGTTGCAGCTTCCCTAATTGGAGTAACACCCTCATTTCCCTTGCCACCTCCTGGCAGCAACCTGTTTACCTTTTCTTCCCTCCATCACCCACCAACTTTCTTTCTCTTCTACTCCCACCTCACACTCCCACTTGCGCACCACCTGCAAAATCTTCACAAGCTGTCCAATCGACCAAGTCATCGCTATTCACCAAGAGGTATTGTTTTTTTTTTTCCCCAACTTGCTGTCAAAAAAGAAAAAACCTCCATCCAGCTTTGTACCTCATCACGTTCTTTTGTCGCTGCTTCCTTGTGCTGTTCGAATATCTCTAACTTGCTTGCATAGGCCTTTCACCTTACGCAAATTTGCCGTCTTCCGAAACTCACACGCCACAGTCTACAGAATCCACCAACCCAACAGTCGTTCACGATGAAGTACTCTGTCAAGTATGTTGGCTCTGGCCTGCTCCTGGCCTCCTTCGTTGTGGCCCAGGGCAACGACCTTCCTGAGTGCGGTGTAAGTGTTGTTTTTCCCTACCTTTATCTAATCGCCCTTGCTTTTTGCGGATAGTTTTCTGGCTGCATTCGACACTGCGGAAACAAGCGGCTCGATGCTTGCCGACCATGCGCTTGTTGCATGCAATTGGGCACCAGTGTCTATCCAACGCCCCCAGGGCGGTGTGCGCATGCCTCTGAGAGATTCGAGTTATCTAACGATGATACAGACCAAATGCATCGAGAGCATGCTGGGTAAGGCTCAGTCTCTCGGCTGCGTCGCCAACGACAAGGCCTGCCTCTGCCGCAACGTGGACTTCACCTACGGCATCCGCGACTGCTCCTACCAGTCCTGCGGTGATGATGCCATCGCCAAGCAGGCCATCGACTACGGTGTTGAGATCTGCCGTCGTGAGTGTCTATCGACTAAGCACAATGTTATGGCACGCAGACTAACTTTATCCCAGAGGCTGGAGTCGCCATCACTGCCACTCCTGAGGCCACTGTCACCAAGCCCACTGGCACTGAGACGGTCGTTGCTTCCCCTATCGTCTCCAGCGTCTTCTCGGCCATCACCTCTGGTGGCAGCACCTTCTCAACCCTCATTGGAGAGACCACGATTGTCCCCTCTGTCGGCACTGGCGGTGGCCAGACAGTGGTCCCCAGCCCTGTCTCGACTTCTACATTCACTACTGTCGTCACCAGCGGCGAGTCCACCTTCACCACCACCGGTGAGACTACTCTCCTCGGCGTTGGTGGAGTTCCTGGTGCTACTGGCCTTCCCCAGTCGTCTGTCACGGCGCCTGTTGTTAGCACCATCACCAACGGCGACAGCACCATTCTCTCGACTGTCGGTCCCACCACCATTCTCACTGGTGAGACTGATGTCACCACCGCCCCTTCTGAGGTGAGCGAGACTGCGTCTGCGACTGCTACCCAGCAGGAGACCCAGTCCGAGACTGGCAGCGCCGCCAGCGCCTCCTCCACCGGTCTTGTAAGTACTCGTTTCCGCTGCAAGCTGGCCGCAGTTACTAACACCCTATTCAGGCTCCCAAGCAGACTGCTGGATCCGCTGTTGGCATTCTGGCTGCCGCCGGTCTTGCTGCCATGCTCATCTAATGTCTTCTGCCTGGGTGTGTTTGGCCTCTTTCCTTGCTCCTCGGTTACAATATGCGCATGTTAACCGCAAATACCCGCCTGGCCCCCCAATCTTGCTCCACATTCGGATCATTCTTACTTTATTACCAGGTTTGAACCAGACACGGCTGTGTCGGGTACATATTTGGTAGATAGGAATGGAAAGGTCAGATGGAGAAAAACATTGGGGATGGGATTTCCTGGGGGGACAGGCATAATGAGTTATTTCCCGTCTTCGTTTTGAGATGGCAATCAATGGATGATGCATGATACACACGGTTTTCTTCTGATAAGGATTTAATGGTGTAATGGGCGGGTATCGATTTGTAGGCTGCGTAGACTCACCAGGACGTGCGTGGTCTTCGACTCGCCCATCCGTAAGTCACTGACGGTGATGGACAACCCGAGTGAAAATCATAGTACAAGGTAGGGACGCCGCCATAATAAAACACATAACGACATCGGAGCGCTTGAGACCTCTCGCCGGATAGGCTCAATCAGTAACGGTATCATTAAAGGAATAGGTCGATTTGCCATGTCGCCACTTGAAGATGTAATTAATGATTTACTCAAGAGGCCGAATGACGCCCAGGGTATTTTGAATGTAAAGCTAAATGCTACATAGGCATCCATAGCAGATGACTATTTCTTTCGCAACAAGGCCAACTTGGCCGCAAGGCTAGCACTCACACTGTCATCTTCATCCGAATCGGATCCGGAGCTACTTGTCGCAGTCTCGTCGTCGTCCTCGCCGAGACTTTCCTCGGCAATGACATTTGTCAAGGCATCTATCCTCCCCCCAGCGCCCATGTCATCGCTCCCGTGGTCGTCATCCTCGTTGCTAGGCAACTCACCCTCCTCTAGCTTACGTCGTATCATCTTGTAGCCCTTGCCGCCCTTCCTACCGAGGAGCTCGTCGTCCCGCTTCCGTTTTGGAGTGAGACGGACCGGCTTCTGTTCCGATATCAATGACGAGGGTAGTGATGTCCCTGGTTCGACAACATAGACGGTAGGGAATTCGAGAACCGTCATATCGCGGAGTGCCTCGCCTAGTGGCAGCGTCGCGTCGACACTGTGAACCACCGTTTGCCCTGCGGCAGCTGCGGCCGCGGAGGTTGTTCCTACGAGGAAGAAGCTGTACCTCCTTCTCTGCGCCTCCTCCTCTTCCGTCGTTCCAGTGAAGGCGGACACTCCTGTGTAGGGCACCCAGCTACCAACGATAGGGTTCTGCAAGCAGTATCTCCCCGGGTGCCAGGCGCCCGTCTCCGTATCTTGAGCAGTGGCCATCGACTGGCCAGGCTTATGAGGGTGTTTGCGACGCCTCTTGGCGCGGCCACTCGAATTCGCGTCTCGAATCTCGTCAACATATTGGAAGTCGTCTTGATGGTTTTGTTGTCGTTGCTGCTGCTGCATCGCCACCTCCTCCTTCCTCGCAAATTCATCGTCGGAATTCTTCTGGCCTGCAATGAAGGCCCTGTAAAGTGGTATGTCGTCGAATGCCTTGGCCATGATCCTCTTCGTTGCCTGGTGTGCAGTATTGTCGGCATCCATCTCTTCTTGCTGCGGCAATATTTCCCTACTTTCCTTGGTATTGGATTGCACAAGCAACCACTCAACCTGCCAGTTAATCCGACCTGAGGCCTTGCTAAACGTTGTGCCATTCTCCTTCTGCCTCGTCATGCCCATGGGCGCACGCCTAAGAAGGATGGCAAACTTGCCCAGCCTCTTCCTGAAAGCCGGAGAAGACAGCACCTCCGCACTCTTGGAATCCAAAACGACAGCATTCTCACCACGCAGCAATTCCGTCACAAGTACCCTCCTCTTTCGCCCGTCCTTGCCCGTCTTCCACTTGACGCTTCTGACTTCGAGAGGACGCAAATCCTCAGGACGAAGAAGCCGGCGCTCCTCAACAATCTCCTTCTCGGACCGCTGAACGGCGCGCTCGATGCTCGATAAAAAGTTGTAGTCGTGATCGACACCTGCGGGAGTTTTGAGCTTCGAGGGAGGGATGTAGGCGGTCGCGTCGCGAATGCCATTGCATGAGTACCACGTCTTGTGCCGCTTGTTACAGCCCGCTGAACATGTCTGAATCGTGCATCGAGGGCACTTGTACTTTGGAGGGTTGACGTGGCAGATGGCGCAAAGGCTTGTGAGGAGAGGGTCGGCCATAGCCGCGACTTGCGGAAGGTTGATTCGATCGCCGTAAGCGTGAACCAGACGCCTACAGTTGATAAATTCCTCCCAAGCCGAAGGTGTGATTGAGTTCAGAGGCTTGTCGAAGTCCTACAGGTAGCTAGCTGATGTCAGTCGCCTGTCAGGTAAGTTTTTTTTCTCCACCCTAACCCATCCATCTGTTGTTATCATTGGCTGTTGTTTCCACTGGCTTATCTGAGATTATGTCCGCCGATAAGATGCTCAGGGGTAAGGTCACCAGCTATGTGCGACCAATCTCAGGATAGCTAGGCGCATCACGAGGACGTCAAACCACTGAAAACTTTGGCCTTCTGTCACCTCTGTACTCTCCGTACATGTCATTGTCTACACAATCAGCATCGCCTGTCATTAATTTGCTTTTGATTGTAGCAGAATTGGTACATTTACACTCGCTGTATTGAATCTTTTGGCAGGGAGTGACAAGAACTAAACTAAGTATCGGCTCGTAGCCTACGGATGATGTAACATCGTGAGCACATGTAACCCGTCCCCCGGCGAGCACTGTCGGTTAACCTCAAGAAGGAAGAGAACTCAGTAAAACGAGCAGCGATTGTCTCGCCAAGTGAAACAAAGAAAATATCAAATATAACGCCGGACACTAAGAAAATTTTGTCCACGACGGCCAGTCGCAAAAAGGTATAAGGCAAAAAAGGTATATGCACAATCGGTAAATCATCCTCCCCGTCGGCTTGGGGAGGAGAGACACAGACCTCCTCCCCCAAGCCGCTTATTATCCCCCCCTCGCAGATGAATTGCGCCCCAGGGGATTGAACAATTTTTGTTCATTAGCGGGTTCCACCCAGAGCGCTGATGCGGGCGCCCGACGGCCGGTGGATAAGACCGTCATTATGCTTGCCGACGACGCCGTGCTGTGGCGGCATGGATTCGGACTCGCTGCGCTCGTCCTCGAAGTCCTCATCGTCCTCAACGATTTTCGTTGGAATATCATCCCGGATCATGTACTGCTGACTTGACCGCTCAGGGGTGGCAGCGCTAGAAGCGAAGGACATCGCCGTGCTGCTCCTGTTGGGGACCAGATCGGGGGTGGGTGGGATGCTAGATGTCCTGCCAGATACAGGATGCAAGAGGCTGTCCTCACCCATCTCAGACGTGGCATTCGACTGCGTGTCATGGCCATCGTCACTCTGACCGGCGGCGGAGAGGTTGCTACGACGGCGCTGGGCGCGAAGTTTCGCGGCGCGTTCGTCAATCTCGGCATCCTGAGCCAACTGCAGACCTTCAACAGCTGCCTGACACTGCTCAGCAATGTTTCTGATGATGTGCGCGATCGCATCAGTTTTGTCCTTCAGATGGCGATCGGCCACGTCCTTGAAGCTAGACGTCGAGAGTCTTTTGTTGGCCTGTGCGGCAGCAGAGAGAAGGCGCGCCTGGTTGGCATCAGCATCTCTAAGCGCCTCACCATCGACCTCCTCAGGGTCGTAGCCCTCCTCGATCTCGCGCTCCAGGTCATCAGGCTTGGTAAGAGACTGAACGAGATGCTCCATGTGATGGCTCTGGCCCCCAATAAGACTACGCAGGTGAAGCACCACACGGCGAGCCTCGTCACGCTGCCTAAGGATGGTAACGTTGGTGTGTTGAAGTGCAGCAAGCTCCTTTTTGTTGCGCTTACGCTCTCGCTCGAGCTCCTCGGCAATCTCCTGCTGGAGAACCAAAGCCTCTAGTGCATCATCACGCTGCTTCTCGGTCGCACCGAGGCGGACGTTGAGTCGCGAGTTGTCGTCTTTCTGCTGGTCGATGAGACCGGCAAGGCGTCTGTTCTCCCTCTTATGAGTTTCGATCTTGACCTTGAGATCCTGTGTCTCTTTGGTAAGCTGCTCGGCAAAGGCCTGGAACTTGAGAAACTGCAAATAGTTAGCATGTGCGCATCGTGAATGATCCGAAAGTCAAACTCACCTGCTGTTTCCAACTCTCCAACTCTTCATTGAGATAGTTGTTGCGCTTCGTGACCTTATTCAGCTCGGTGTCCATGCGACCCTTGAGGTTGATGAAATCCTGCCAGGCCTCAAGAGCATCACGGGAGTACTGGTTTCTCTCCCGAACTATTTCATTCAGATGTCTCATAGAAACCTTGGTCATAAGAGGCTTCTTTACAGAGCCCCCAAAGACAGCCTTGATGCCAGTGTTTCGACCCATCTTCTCGCAAACGTGATCCATGACCGTCATCACCGCGTCCTGGTTCCACCATTCGGGGTCCTGAATTGACTCGACTTCGCCGCGCATAACGATAATCTGGCCGGCCGGGACCAGCTTTCCTCCTCCGTAAGCCGATCGGAGATGCGGGGGGACTCCGGAAGGCGTGACATCGCCGTTGAGAGATTGAGTGAGGCGGGTCACAAACTTGTTGCGCTGACCAGGGTTCAATGCGGTCGGAGGGCTGGATGTGAGAACAAAATTGCGGTCGAGATCGATGACCAATGCGTCGGTGGGCGCAGTAAAGAGAGAGCGACACTCAGCAGTGATACCGAGGATGTACGGGCCTGGTTCCTGGACCAGATCCTTGGCATGGCGTGCGTGTACGACGGGAACGTAAAGACCGCTCCACTCATAGACGCGAACGCAGTATCGGACGGTCTCTGCGGCCATGGTAAGCATGGCAGGGTAGTGGCTGACAAAAATGATGCGGCGAGTGGGTGAAATGGCAGCCTCAACAACGCCGACAATGTTCGGGATAGACAAACAGCAAAACAATGGCCACATCGCGAAATTCTGGAAGCCAGTCGGCGAAGAGGGGAATTGATAACACAAAGCATAATCCTTCATGTCGATTCGAACCAAGTCGTTCAGCCTCGGGGCAGGAAAGCTCAGAATGCGCGAGACCTCTTCGGCATGAAACAAGTTGGTGGCTTTGTTCCAGTGGATCCACATGCCGCGCAGATAGTCTCCGAGCAGATTGTAGAGCGGGTACCGAGACAAGAAGGACAGGCAGTAGGGAATCCAATAAGTCTCATCCGGGTTATCATAGTAGTCAGGTTCGGTCCTCTTGCGCAGATCCCGAATGGTTTCGGCTCTTTTCTCGTCGGCCCTGGACCACACACGAAGGCAGATGCCGTACAGTGTATGGGAGGAATCTTGCTGCAGGACGAATGCGTGATGGACGCAGTGAGGTTGACTGCGGCCGGTACAAATCTCAACGTCGTGGGGAAAGCAAGCCTGCTTCGCGTAAGCCACACCAAAATTCATGCAACCAGGGTCGCGAACGGCGACTTACCCGCATGGCGGCGTGCAACGACCTGGCGATCTCATTGTCTTGCTCAAGTCTAGGACTGCTTCCAAGGATCTCGGGAAGCCAAAATTGTCCAACCGCGCCCTTCATGTGACCTATCTTGCCCTGAGCAGGGGCAGGAGCCTTTACCCATTGTGAAGGCTCCCTGCCAACACCGCAGACCATGTAGGCGTGGGTCAGAGTCTTGGGCGTTCGCTGCTGGGGCTTTGCGTTGAGGGTTGAGGGAATCGGCTGGGTGATGCGTGAGTGAAGGGAGGAGGTACGACTCGGAATGATAAGATTATTGTCGGCCTGGTCGCGGGTGACGGGCCGACCATCACGGTCACCGGTCCGGGGCCGGGTGAAGGACGAATGTGCGTTCAATGACGGCGCCATTTCGAGGATTGTCGTGGAGGATATCGAGAGATTGGAAGTGCGATCTAGCGGGTGGCAATCCGGGTCGCCACGACGTGTCCAGCGTGCTGGAATAAACGCGCAAGGAAATTCGGAACCGTGAATTATGCGACGATCAAGCTACCAGGAGAGCAAGCTCTCGTCGAGGAAGGAGTCGGGGACGAGGCGTTGCTCAGAAGGCCGCCATTCGAAGAGGCCGAGTGTACAGCAACAACGATTGTCCGGTCGGTCTGGTCGAGCAAGAGTTGAGGCTCAGGCACCGACAGATTGCTTGACTGATAGACTGTTCGGTGACAGGTGGGGGAGAGAAAGAACAAGAAAAGAGGGAGAGAGAAAGAGAGAGAAAGACGAGAAATTGGAGACGAGACAAGAAGAGGCGGTTCAGGTAAAAGGAGAGGACTGGCCGGGGGGGGGGGGGTCAAGTTAGGAAGTGTTTGGGGGGAAAGGCGAGGGCGTGAGCGTGGAGATGCAGACGACAAGAAAGCGAGGGTGTGCCACTGGCGGGCGGGCTAAGATGAAGCAAAAGAGGACCAAGCGCCTCCTAGGTAGGTGCAGGTGCTTTGGGCAGTAGGAAAGGTAGGTAGGTAGGTCGGCACGCAGTAAGGTCCAAGATGAGGTGAACGACGAGTAAGAGGGATGGGCCCAGCAGGTGAAGGTGAGTACCTTAGGGAGGTACCTAAGGCACCATTGTAAAGTGGCAGGGCAGACGGCGTGCCGGGGAATTAAGGTCTGGAGCCAACTGCAGCTGTAAGCATGCAGGAGGTATCCGCAGGTGCCCAGGTGAGTGTGGTACATGCGGACACAGCAGGCACAGAAGAGAGAAAGAGAAGACAGGAGAGGAGAAGGGCCACAACAGCACAGAGGATTGACAGAGAATTGGGGGACGGATGTGCAGGGGGCAGTATGCAGCTTCAGGAAAAGAACAGGGGGGTGATGCTCAGGGCACTGGGCCAGGGTGACAGGCTCGCAGGCCATCCGTAGCCAGGTAACCTTGTAACAGGGGAGGGAACCGTCATGTTCCTGGCCAGGCAAGTACGCAGTAACAGCCTTGACTCTTGCTGTTGCAACCTGGGCGGGAGTGTATGACTTGAGACTCTTCCGCAGCGCCCTAGTGTTTGGGTCTGGACCGCGAACACGGCGATGTGATATGGCTTCAAAGGAGAAGGTGTTTGGTGATTCGTTTACAGGCGCCAGTCGATCTGCAAGGACGGGATACAAGCAACGACCATCGGGAGCGGCCTGGTCTCCAAGACTCGACTTTCTCCTCAAGAAGAACAAAGGCGGGTCCGCACGGACTTGGCCTGGCCTGGAGTAAAGTGCAGTACTGACCTAGTGTAGGAGGCACCGACACAGACATAGGTTCGCATCCCAACTGCCAAATGGCCCGTTGAAACGGACTTTGTCGTGTCGACGGTGTCGTTTTCTAGTTCCACCTTGTCTTTGTGTCTCTGTCTCGCCATGTCTGCCGTCCCGTCCACCGTCCGCCGCCCGTTGGTCCCGACGAGAGAAAGAAACACGCTCAACGACTTGGACCTGTGGTAAGATGCAAGTATCCGTACACCACCACCTCACCCATTCACTGACGCAGGGGCCCCTCCATCTCGTCAAGCTACCTTACCTACCTAAGGTACCTTAGGTAGGTACCTTACCTTAGTGTACTAGGTATGCAGTAGTCACGGTAGTGGACCATCACTTGCAGGGCCATCCGGTGCACCTGGTCGCCCTACCAAATTTGAGCCCCGCCCTCTGCGCCCATCTCCTATGCAGCAACCAGATCACAGCCAATGACAGACGCCGCCCTTCAAGACCGGTCGCTGACGAGGGAAATTACCAGTCTCGTTTGGAAATTCTGTCGTCTCTTGGTCACATCTGTGCCAGAATATTGGACCTAAAATGATTGCGGCTGTCTGTTTTGGTCCTTGAACCTGATTGCCCTTCCCTACACTACTTGACTACCTAGTATTCGACGTAGGTAGGTAGGTCCGTCCGACCTGTCCGTATCTCATACCTACAGGCCACTAAAGACGTTGGACGGTGGGGGACGCTTCCAACCTCCGCAGAAACGAACGCCTTCCAGACTTGAGACGGAATCCTCGCCGAATTTTGGTCTGCTCTATAAACAGGGTCACGGTCGTCCAAAATGTTGGATACGCGCAGCAATGTAACCTTCCGACATGCCCCTCTACCATAGTAGATGGATGACGAATTCGGGCTCAGAATACATCATCTGCCGAAGAGCGCTCAAGCCGCCCGCCCCCTCCCCCCTCCTCTTTCTCCATCACCCACCCCCGATACATACAATGCCAACCATGCTGCCATATTTCCCATGGCAGCATAGTACGGATACTGCGTGCAAACGGCTTGTTCCTGAAGCCCGCTCCTGCGCGTGAGGGCACCGCTCAGGAACCACGACGAACCAGGATCACCGCTTCTGCATCGCATCCCACATAAACAGAGCCTTAAGTGTTTGGGGAGGGGACAGATCCGTGTCGTCGCGTCTTGTGACGACCCTCGCCCCGGCTCATATCGCTGCCGATTACTGTGCGACCGATAAAGAAACTAGTCATCCCCGACGCAAGCCATGACAGACACGAGCAGGTATTGATAATACGCAGTGCATACGGTAGTGCGATAATCCGTGGCACCAGAGCCAGTCACTAGTGTAAGTGGAACCCACCGGCTGCTCGGTGCCCTTCCCCCCCCCCCACTCCCGGACTACTACTCATGTATTCGTACCTCTCATCCTGACGCACTTCACAAGTTCATCGAGGGCTTCATCAGGGGTCGTCCCAGGGACAAGTAGCCGCAGAGCCCAAGATTTATAACAAAGTACGCATACACTACTTGTAACGGGGAGCATCTGTGGCTGTGGGATAAGGAGAAAAGAAACAAGACAATAAGCGATGGGTCCACGCGAAGAACCCCCGAGCTACCTTGGTATCCGCAGATTTCTCACCCGTCCACTGACTGGCGATCGCTGCCAGAACCAAAGCGCCAATCGCGCCAACCAACGAACGCCGGGCTTATTTCGACTCTCGAGTCGTCCAATCTGTTGCGGAGTGGAATGATGCTCCCTACTTTATTTAGATAAGGTGTTGGGTACCGAAACATCCGTCGAATCCTTTCGACACTGGCAGCACGGCAGACTGTGTGCCAGCAGGGAGTGTCGAGTTTGTTTTGGTAGCGTTGTCAATGAATCCTCAGGTTCGGACTGTGGGCGACAGTCCCAACACCCATATAACCTGTCACAAACCTACGGTCCAGTAGCGCCGAGCGATGAACGACCGCGGTCCGACTTGCTGACAAAAACAGGTGCCACCGGCCAGCGCTTTGACCCAATGTTCTGGGTTGAAGACGCGGAGCACAAGGCAGCTTTGGATACCTCCCCCGTACTATACTATCCATAGTAGTAGTATACCAAACCAGTTCTTCTATAACACAGATAATGCTCCGCACAAAAAGAAGCCAGCCGTGGACCTGCAACCCGTGCCCCCCCCCCCCCCCAACGGCCCGGGGTTGAGTACCAAGTTCCTCACTCTTCCGAATCTTGGATGTGGGACTGTACAGATACGATTCGGCCTTGTTGCAGTGCCTCAATGCTGGAACGCATTGCACATGTTCGCACTCATTCGCATCATACACCAGTACATATCTGCGTGAAGCCAGGCCAAAAGGTCGGTGCAGTTGGTCGTCCTTCGTGCTCACTCCCTGGGCATTCTGCTCCATCATCTCTGTCTGCTTTATCCATGCAGAGAACTCCGAATGTGTACGGTATCACTAGCACTGTGACTTCATGGCCCAAGTGTCGCGGGCTGGACCCTGTCACGATCTGAGCGCCAGTCCCGAAGCCCTGATCGTTGTTCAGGCGTGCCGCTCTTGGACGAATGATTCGCAAGATTGATTGTCGACCCGCATGCATTCTCGGGCGCTGCCCGTGCCATAGTGCCTTTATCTAAGGTCGGGGTTTCCATGAAGTATCCGTAATCTTCTCTACTGCGTACATAGGTTCCATCTGCTGCTTACAACTCTTGCGCATCAGCCCCATTGCACCTATCCAGTGTTGCCCTGTACCAAGACAAACCTGTATGGCGAATGCATTGAGATCAACTTGCCGGAGGACAGGCGGGAGGATTGCGGTTGTTTCTCAGGTAGCGTTGCCTGACAAGTCTGTCACGGCGCCGTAGCCGGGCAGGTTTGCTCTACCGTCCCGAAAATGAAGAGTGCCGATCTCCCCGGCGGCGAAGCGTGCATGACGGTTCCATTCTTTGTCGATGCGCTGGCTGACTGGCAAGCAAGTTGTGTTTGTTGTGTATGTTACCTACGAATGGGTAAACGCTCTTTCCCTCTCTCATTGGTCTGTTAACTATGCTTGTATGTACACACCAGATGGTAAGCCTCCGGGATGCCGGCAAAGCACCATCGGAGCCGCCAGCGGGACGGTAGAGCGGGTGGGGCTCTTCGCCGCATTAGGTACGCCGTCCCCATGGCGGGAACGGCGACAACGACTCCGTGCCGACGTAAGCTTCATTCTGTCGCCAGGCATATAATGGCAGCCCGAGGCTGCTGATCCGAAGTTCGGCACGGTCTTGCGGTGGAGAATCACTCAGTGGAGTTTCTCGTCGCGCTCGCGCAGATGGCGACATTCCAACCCAGTAGCTAAAATATTTATAAAAAAAAAATAAGAAAAATTTACTGTGTCTTGAGAGATGACACACGGCTAAAACCCCGCTTTTCACTGAACGGTTGCGCAATACGCAAGGACTTTTGCGTCCGCCCCGCCCTTATTCTGGCCTTCGCGGCCGTGGTCGCTGTAGCGCGAAAAGCGACGTCAACGTCCGTGTTTTTGACGAAGGTGATGGACGACGATGCTCACTCTGCCGTGTCGGCAAGTCACGATTGACGAGAATCTACATCCACTAGACGCAGGCATCACTATTCGAGGATTCCACTGTTGAGTACGCCGTAGGCAGTCGGGAGCAAACTTGCATGATACTTACGTTGAGCCATGTCTGACATGTGAATATGGGCATATGTGGCCAGTGCAGTGCCGCGAGAGGATTGCCAGCGAACGCGATCAAGGGAGGACAGGACGGCAGGGTTCGCAGCGGAAAGAGCCACTACCACGGCAAAATTTTCCGGTCGTATTGTCGTGGCGAAGAGAATCAGGTTGATCGCTATGGGCGAACGAGGGCAGGGTCAATGATATGCACCGCTTCGACAACCATTGATGGATCGAAGTGAGCGTAAAAGAACCTGCAGCATCAAAGTCCGAGGCTCGTGAAGCCGGGTTCCTGCTCAGGGACGGCACGGGAAGGCTTGTGAGAAAAGAGGAAGGGAGTCATTGGGAGGCTATGGTGCTTAGCGGCGCATCGCGGCGGATATTATACCCAATCTCTCGGACTGGTAGCTCGGCGGAGCGTTCCGGTCAAACATGATGCAGATGACGAAAGGGAGAGGGGGTAGGAGAAATAGCCGCAGGGTAAAGGCCGTGGTCTCATGTCCCAAGAGATGGCGAAGCAGGCAAATGTCAAAAGGTCCAAAAGTCACAAGCCAGCGACACTGAACGGCAGGTAACGCGGTACATGGGAACGACCTCACCCTGACTTCGTGATAGAGGCAACGCCTCCTCAGTGTTACGCTATTGTGTAGTAGCGCGGCCCAGCGCAGCCGTTGGCTTGGAATTTCCCCGTGATGAAGTTTGAGAAATGTAAAGTGATAAGCTCACTCACAGTGGGCCAATTGGGTCAAGGTATCGTGCCTCCCCGGGGAAAGGCACCGGGGCGCCTCAGCCACAGCGTAAGGTGAGGTAATTGGGCAGCGCATCAGCTCACCTCAGATCCTCTGGTAAGGTAAAATGAGGTTGGCCCATCACCAGCCCCAAGCGCGGCGTGCCTAACACTAGGTGCCTACCCACCCAAGGTACCTTAAGGTAAGGAGCACACGGATGCAACCTTTCACTTGCTTCCAGGTTAGGTAGGTGCCACCTGCCATGCTCAACCCACCTCACTCAGAGCCTACAGTGTAGAGGTAAGGTACTCACAGACCAAAGCCCGAGCAGCAGCCCACTCTTCGGAACACAGATCGACAACTGCTCCCAGGATGGGCTGGCAGATAAGGCACGGCCATGTGAAGCACGCGTACGTGTTGAGCAGCGACTCGACCACGAGCGAGTGGAAAGCTCGAGACCATATTCACACTGCGGACCTAGATGGGCATTGAGGTGCAATCCATGACCGGATCGTTACAGGAAGGACGAAAAAGCCCAGAGCCCTACCAAGGGAAGTGAGCCGGGCACATCACAGATACCGCCGCTGCGCCCCTCTTTTCCCCTCCGATTTCTTGTGCAGCTCGACCACCAGCGGGCGGGGCAACAAACAACCTCACTTTCACATGTCAAAAGCCCGGGGTCATGATAGGGATGCATCGAGACTGCGTTGAGGCTGCTCTTGCTTCTGATAAACGACTGTACCAATGACCAAGTCGTACCTCATCTTCTTGCATTATATCCTGCAGTGACCAGCTTCGAGACGGGGCTGCTGTATGTCATACGCGGGAGGGCAAGAGAGTGAGAGCGAGATAAGGCACGCAATTCGGCCACACCTCACCTCGACCTCATCTCACCTCGCCTCACCTCACCTTACCTGACCTTACCTGGTGAACTTTGGGCTCCACTGCCGGTCAACGAAAGAACGGCGACATGGAGGAACGCTGGGAAGGCAGAGGGAGAAGGGCAAGGGACGAAAAACGAAGACAGATCTTCGCAGGGGCGGCGACGTTCGAGACACGGAAAAAGGAATTCACACACAGGAAGCAAGCTTGAATCTCGAGGAGCAACCGTTCCTGATGGTGCAGCAGCAGGAGCACCATCTCCCGCTGGCATGCGGCCGTGTGGAGGGACGTGGAGATGCATGTCCTGAGCCAGTGCATCCAATGTACCTCGCGGGTAGGGATACTTGGTCCAAGCCCCGCCACCAGTGGCATTCCTGCGCGTCTCGTTGGTTTTCCTTTCCCTCAGCCTTTGACATGGTCGCGACAAGACGTGGTGGTGGTGGATGAGAAGGAAAGCACATGCTAATCGCTCTCGCTCTAGCTCTACCTAGTCTGCATCCTAACTTCTAAGGGGTTCAAGCAAGGTCAGCCCAGACATGCCTTGCTACTGACATGCAATGGTACTATCTGGGTAGATAAATACCTTACTTTACTTTTTCATTTCTGTCCATGCCCGTCTGTGGCGTCAACCTCGTCACCACCCATTGCATCCCGTCCCATCCCATCCCATCCCGTCCCGTCCATTACAGACAAGCTCGTCTTCTCGTTCCAGCTGTTCCCTCCCTTTTAGCTCTGCCTACTCCCTCCAACTCGCTTCCCTCTCCCCCTCCCATGACCCAAAACCTTCCGGCCGTCCTTTCCTTTTTCCAAACTTCTTGTTCAACATCTGCTCTACTCCGCTCTGCACTCTTGCTCTAGCAACCACCTGCTTACATCCACGACTCCCTGACTGTTGAGCCTCAATCGACTTCACCCCCATCTGGACACTTGCCCCGAACTACCGCTCTCACCATCAAACAGCCGCCTACATGTCCAAAATGGCCCAAGTCAACGGTGACCTCCCGGCTGTTAACTCAGCCACTGCTCAGGTAAGAAGCTTCGCAATTCACCCGAAGCTTTGTACTGTCGGCGCTGACCCAATGACACAGCATCTGCTGGACATCCCCTTGATTCACGACGGCGTTGTCGCCTTCAGGAACAACCCTTTCGGCAAGAAGTCGATCGCCATTGGTGACTCTGCCTACCAAACCTTTGCCGCCCCTCTCCTTCCCTATCTGGCCCGTCCCTGGGGCTACCTGCGCCCTTACGCGGAGAAGGCCGACGCTCTTGGCGACCAGACCCTGACCAAGGTCGAGGAGCGCGTCCCCGTCATCAAGAAGCCCACCGAGGAACTTTATGCCGGGGCCAAGGGCATCATCGCTTTGCCGATTCGTACCGGCTTCGAGGCCAAGGACCACGTCTTCAAGACGTATGCCCAGGAGAAGAAGAAGGTTGGTGGGGAGAACCTGGTGACTTACGGCAAGGCCATTGTCAGCACTACTCTCATCACTACTAGCGAAATCATCATCTGGGTTGGAGATGTCATGCACTACAAGAAGGAGGAGGCCAAGGACGTCGTGAACGAAAAGGTCAACAACTAAGTCTGTACCTGTACTGGCATTCGTACCGCCGGCTAGTTCCCTTCCCTCCACTTCATATACCCTTCTCATGCGACTCGAACTATCCTTGATTCTTGTATCGCAGTCATGATGGCGGACGCCCCAACGACATACAGCAAGGAACGGAATTTATACCTCGGATAAAGAGCTTTTGTTTGTACTTGTCATGCTCTGCTCTCTTATGTCTGTTTCCCATGTTGGTGTACGAGATGGAAGGCTTGCCGCCCGTCACCCCAGTCCTGAGTTTTGGGACCAACTGATTGCGGAACCCCTCTCAACGTTGCTGGGTTCCGTAGAAAATAGGGCGCTTCCCTCACTACGGAGTTTGAATGGATCCGTAATTGGTTGCAGATGTGCGACGGGGGAGCGAGGCTTTGCCAGTGCTGGTGTTGGTCATGGAACGAGATGAGACCCAAAATTAATAGATGTGCGCGTTTCTCTTGACCCCTGCTCTCAGGAGCTCTAAAGATTTAACCATCAAATCTCTGTTGGCATGACCGCACGTGCTGCGGTTCATGCCGCGTGTCCAGGCACGAGCCGGGTGATACCTGAGTCGCCGTCACGCCGGTTACAGAGGATTTTGACACTGATATAAGGATAACAGGTAGAGATGCATAGGAAGGGGTAAGACAGGAGAAACGACGCCTTAGTCAGTCACGGACGTGCACTAAGACAACTGACAAGCACGAGCGCGATGCAATAATTTGACAGTGCTGCTTAAGCTCCCTGTTCTGTTGTCTTACGTCCACGTCCAGGCATGAGTGTACCCTGTGGTAAGGTAGGTAGGTATTATAGCTTGCTTTTAGCAACTCAATTTTGACGTGAGATCGGATCAATTACGAGCAGCAAGCAGCTGGAGGACGACCTGGACGAGAGAGGGAAACTGGGGAGAATTGCCGCCTGCTGATTGGGCTAGGGTGGGTTTCTCCAAAGCAATCTGTGACCTCAGGCACCCAGCTCGGTGCCTCCGGCCATCAACGTCATAGCGCCCGGCCACGACTGACTGTGTCAGCAAGTCCCATACTGATAATTGCTGATGTAAATTTGACTAAGCCTAGTCGCTGGCCAGAATGTGGCAGAGACACCCTCACGATGCTAGGTAACCTGCCTCAGGTGGAGAGAAAGCGAAAAGGGCGAAGAAATAGACCAGGAAACAAAAAGGTGCATGTGTATGCCATTTGCCAATCGCGCTTCTAGAATATAGGAGTCTTGTTCATCTGTCCTCCGGTTGCCCAACGAGAACCATTCCAATTTTCTGCGTAAATACCGCGCGTGCTTCTCGTCAATGAAGCCCTTCTCGATTTTCTTGTCCATCATCGTGGGAATCGCATCGATTGTTCTCTTCAGACAAGGCTTACGCAACATTGCACTCGTTACCACCGAGACTTTCTTCAATCTGACGTCTTCCGCATTCAGAAGAGGAAACCAGACCCCAAAGCCACATATAGACCATCACCTGTACGCGAGCGATATGTCCATTCCTCGTGCAATTCGCAAGGTCTTCCTGGCCGTTGAACAAGCAGAAGGTGCCGGGGCTCGTGTCCGCCGCTCTATCGGGACTCCCCAGCTACGAAATTTCTCTCCATTTTTGATGCTTGGTGAGTAAGGTTTCCGCAACATAAAAAACAAGGAGAAAAAAACACATTGCTTATTGAAAGACCATTTCCGTATCTCCCCGGGGGCGGGCTTCCCCGACCACCCTCACAGAGGCCAGGAAACCATCACCTACCTGCTCCATGGCGGAGTCGACCACGAGGATTTTGCCGGCAACAAGGGCACCATTGAGACGGGCGACCTGCAATTCATGACAGCGGGTCGAGGCATAATGCATGCCGAGATGCCCAAACAGAACCCGGATGGCAGCGCCAATGTTGGCCTCCAGCTTTGGGTTGACCTGCCCAAGCATCTGAAGTCCTGCGAGCCGCGCTACCGCGACCTGCGCGCCAAAGAAATTCCCTCCGTCGACGTCGATGATGGTAAGGTCCACATCAAGATCATCTCCGGCCAGAGTCACGGCGTCGACTCGGTGCGCGATCTCGCCTACACGCCGGTCTGGATTCTGGACATCAACATCAAGCCTGGTGGCAAAGTCGCACAGCCTCTGCCCAAGGGTTGGAATGCCTTCGCGTACACGCTCGACGGACAGAGCATTTTCGGAACAGGAGCTCAGAAGCGTGTGGTCGACCAGTTCCACAATGTCGTGTTTGAGCTAGACGGGGAAGTGATCAATGTTGAGGTTGATGCGAGCGCAGAGAAGAACGCTCGCCTTGTGCTCATCGCTGGAACACCCCTTGATCAGGAGGTTGTTCAGTACGGACCATTTGTCCTCAGCTCTAAGGCCGAGGTTTACCAGGCCTTGATGGACTATCAGACTCATTCCAATGGTTTCGAGCGAGCCGAGGGCTGGCAGAGTGAGATTGGGAAGTCAATGATACAGTAACTAATCTTTCGGGTCCGTTTCCAGATTTGGCACTCGTGTTATGCAGTCACGCAATGCAGCGTATAGTCGGATGTTTCTCCGTCTAATCATGGTCAATTGGTTTCTAGACAATGTAAAATGATGATCTGGCAGATCGCAAGATAGATGCAAGACGAACAATCAGCAATTCTTAGTTGCATGATTAGTTGATTGAGGTCGACGACGACGAGAGTCCAGCTTCATGTGCACGGACCCTGATGCTTATTCCCTCCAGTCAGTCGGTACTCTGTACACCTTACCTACCTTACGTAGGCCCAAGCCCCTACGAACACTTATGTACTGCATAGTAGGGAGCGGAGTACCTGGAGCGTACTGACCCGGCCCACTTCCGCTGCGCAGCTACGTGCTCTACCTAGGTACAAGGTAAGGTAGCTCTCGCTCTCTTCCCCCCTTCCTACCTTAGGTGGCATCCATGTATGTACACGAAACCCAAGCTGCCGCGCGCAATGCCATGATTCTCGTACCCTACCGTCACCACGAAACGATTATGGGAGCAGCATAAACACCCGAGCCTCTTTCATCCGACTGCACGAACGATTGACTATCTGACCGATCGATTGACGACTATCAAGAGCCCCTATTGACCTGCCAACCTCAGTCAACTACCGACATAGTTCATTCACTATGGATGCGCCCGTGCCAAAGCTCACCGAGCTCCTCCGTCATCCCGATGACCTCGACAAGATCGCCGGCCTGAAGCAGGAATTTTCCCGAAAGAAGGCTGCTGTCGACTCACAACTCCGTGGCGGCCTTCGCGAGCAGCTGGAGACGACACAGTCAGGCATGACTGGCCTCACGGACGGGCAGAAGACGGTGCAGCAGATCAAGGAGGAGATGATCAAGATCGACCGCCTGTGTTCAGAGTCGCAGAACATGATCAAGGATTTCGCCAGCATCAACTTGGTGTCTCAGGCACATCGCAATTTCGGCGCTGTCGAGGCGATGCGCAAGAACCTGGAGACTTTCAACGAGCGTCTAGAGATCGTCGAGCGAATGTTGAGCGAGGATGAGAGCGACAAGGAGAACATGCCGAACCTCTTGCCGATACACTACGAGCTGACACAACTGAGGAATATCCGAGATGATGCCATGGAGCAAATTCAAAGAGCGGAGGACCCAAGTCTGGAGTCAACACTCGAGGACTACTTTCAGAGACTGGATACCATGATCGACTGGTTTGACGAGCATATCGGTATTCTAGCTCTGAACCTTATTAATTTGGTCGTTAATGACAATAATGGCCTGGTGGTACGTTTTGCTGTCGTGATTGAGGCGGAAGAGAAGAGCGATCAACGAGTGCTGGCACTGCAAGAAGCGTTGAGAGACCACAAGGAGATGGCGACAAGGTTCCAGAGTATAACCGACGGTGCAAAAAAGGTCCGAGGTTACAAGGACAAATTCACACAAGCCATCAAGATCAGTGTCGAAGGACAGTTCGCGGAGGCAAGAGGCGAATTCTTGGACGACCCTTCGGCACTTGATAAGATTCTCAAATGGTACTTCAACGACCTCAACGCCGTTAAAATGGGCATGGCCCCCTTGATGCCTAAGAAATGGAAGATTCTCAAGACCTATGGGGACATTTACCACCAAACAATGCACGACTTCTTGGTGGGAATGATCGATGACCAGGACTCTAGTTCTGCCAATACCTTGGAGATCATCAACTGGCCCGAAAAGTACTATAAAAAGATGAAGAAGCTGGGATTCAAGCAGGAGGACCTAGCGCCTCATGTCATCGACTCAAGAGAAACGGAACTGGTGCGCGACTTCCGCCAGCTCATCATCAAGTTCCTGGATGAATGGATCGAGCGAATATTCAATGCAGAGCTTAAGGACTTCGCCGAGCGCAATGTTGAAGGTTCTAACCTGGATCAGGATGAGTATGGCTACTTCCGAACCAAGAACCTCGTCGACATGTGGCGTATGCTGCGTGAGCAGATTGATGCTGCTGCCAACTCAAAGCGTATGGATGTTATTGAGGGAGTCATCGACGCCATGTTTCTGCGATTACGTGGCAGGCAGCAGTCGTGGCAGAAGATGCTCGACGAAGAGGCCATCAGGTACGAGACTGGGAAGATGCCTGAGCTCGAAGGATTCCAGCCACTTCAAGATTGGCTTGTGGCCACGGCAAACGACCAGATTGCCTGCGTTGACGACAATGAGGAAGAAGGCAGGCTAGCGTACCTGTCCAATTTCAAGCAAAAGTTTGAGCCCCTCGTATCGCCGGCGTACATGGAGCGCGCCGAGGGCGAAGTTGAGCTGCTACGGGATGGCTATGTGGATTTCAGCACGTGGTGCATCACCAAGTTTGTTCAGCTGATTTTCTCCGTCGACTTCAAGTTGGTCATGCCCGACTTCTTCACGCCCAAGTGGTACACAAGCACAGCCATGAAACAGATGGTGGTAACGTTTGAGGAATACGTCAACGACTATAGCCAAGTTCTGCACCACTCTCTTGTCGACATCTTCACAGAAATCTTCGCCGACGAGTTGCTCGTCCGCTACCTTACATCAGTTCGCAACAAAGGAGCCAAGTTTCGCCGCACCGATCCCTTCCAGGACAAGCTGTTCAACGACATTTCGACGGCATTCGAGTACTTTGGTGCCCTTCCTAATCCGGACGTCGGCAACTCCGTCAAGCAGACGTGGCGTGTTACCGAGTACTTTCTGCAACTGCTTACCGTCGAGAAGGACGCGCTCCCAGACACCTTTGAGGGCTTCAAGATGGCTTACTGGGATTTGCAGATGACGTGGGTGGAGGCAGCGCTGCGGTCGCGCGATGACTTTGAAAGGAGCATGCTCAACGCCGTCAAGGCACGAGCGGCGCAGATTGATGTGGTCAGGGGTCCAGAGACAATCATGAGCAAGGTCAAGTGATCAAGCCATGCCGGCTGCACGTAGTATCATTGTCAGGCAGGCAGAGCTGCGCTGAGGCGGCCGAGCAGGCTGATGAAAAGAGCGAAAAGAGATTGATACTGGGGATCCGGATCCTCGAGAGATGACGATGGAGCTGCTCAACGAGGGTTGGGTTAGACGATAATGAAAATCAAGACAACTGCTGCACTCGGCGAAGACGACGATCCAGAGTACGGCTGCTGGAGGTATTGGATGGGAAAATATGAGGTGGTTAGAAGATAAGATGCCTTTGCTTGCTAATGTATGGACACTTCGAAATGCTGCACACGGTCCCCTTTACAAAGGCGAACATGGGACGAAGAATACGGCCTTCACAGGACCATAAGTGATTGTAGCGAAGCTGGGTTTCTCTGAGTAGTAACTCAGCACTGACCCAAAGCTGTTGGGCTCAGTAGACTGGGGAGACTCTCTGATCTCACATGTAATTTGGCCCGCCATACCTAGACACATGAATGCTCGAGCTACGAGCAGTTCACACGTGGAACCTACCAGTCTTCAATATTATTTGTTTTGAGTCCAGACTCATGATGACAACACGCAAGCTTAGTAAAAAATCAAGAGGGCCGAGCATTGTGAGCTTTGAGTCAACCATGCATATCCTACATACATACATATATATTAGGTGCCGAGGTCCGACGTGCTCCGATCGTGAGACGCGAGGGACATGGCGGGAATGGAAGGTTAAGAACTGCCGAACACGAAGGTATCTCTTGTAGACCAAGTGAAAGGGGGGAGAAATATAATGCCTGCTGTTGTCGATTTAATGCCACTTTGCCTCCCATGAGGAAATCCAGTTGCGCTTTTGTGCCCTCAACACTTCTAGATCAGGTTTATGATTGGCTGGCAAGGAAGTTGGCGGCCTGTTAGAGAATTAGCAGCCGAAAGTTTCAAACGAGTTTCTGTGACTATGACATACCCTCTCCAGGTTGTAATCATACTTCTCGAGTGCGAGAAGGGAATCTTCTCTTGAGTAGCCCATGCTCGTGAGGTTCTTCAAGATGGGGTCGTCATGCTCCCCATCTCTGGTCAAAGCACGGCCAGGTGTAGGTCGGGAGTCTGAAGTCGCAGGAGGGACTTCTGCACCCTTGTCTGCGTTGGCGGCACTGGGAGAGTCCAGGCTAGCAAAAATGGCATCCCAGTCCTGCGCATCCGGCACCGTCGCACTCTTCGTGCCCGCACCGTTAGTGCTGCCAGTGGCAGCATTAGGGGACACAGCGCCAAAGTCGTAACTACTTTCGTGCCCAAAAGCAGTGGATTCTGTCTTGACCTGGCTTGGAGGGGGGCTGCTGTCGAAGACAGGGTTGAAGTCATCGAGACCAGATCTGGAGATTGTCTGGAAGTCATCATCGGCAGAGCCTTCCTTGGCATCCTCGAGACCCTCGAAATCATCATCGAGGTCATCAAAGGAGGACTGCGGCTTGGGTGCGGCGGATGGTTGTGCAGCGGAGGCGGCAGGAGCAGTCGTCTCAACAGCTTCCGCTTCCGATGTCACCGGGGCCTCCGGGAGTGTAGACGTATCAACGGGGGCGGCTTGGGGCTCGGCAGACGATGCAGTGGGCGCGGAGCTTTCACCCGTGGGAGCAGGAGCAACAGCAGTAGCCGTCGGTGGAGGGGACGTGGCACCCTTAGGATCATCGACCTTTTTGGCTTGAGGAGACGCTGGTGCGAAGTCGTCGTCGAAACCGCCACGCTCGCTTGCACTATCAGATTCGTCATCGTCGCGGTCAAGCTCAGAAATTGGAGGGAATTCAGAATCGAATGCCGAAAATGATTTGGCGCCGTCAGCACCAGGCTTGTCTGAGCTCTTATGCGCGTTTGTGAAGCTTGCAAAAGCATTGTCAAAGTCAGCCTTCGCCTTGTCCTGATCCATTGCGGCGAATGGGTCTGGGTTCGATGCGTCGACTGCACCGACTTCAGTTCCAGCTGTCGCGCCCTCGCCTGACGGCTGCGCACCACTTTGAGCCGCAGGCTCCTGTGGCTCAGCGTTGCTTGCGGTAGAAGTCGAGGCGGTGCTCTGTCCCGTTGTTGTAGGCTCGACGGGGAATGCTCCGGGCAATGAGGCCGCAGGGGGGGTGTCTCCAGACCCATCGGCACGAGAGGCAGGGGGTGACACGGCCCGAGAAGACGTAAGGGATTCGGAGGCCTCCGGGAACGGAAGGAAGCTCGAGCTAATCTGTCGTGATTCAGGCGGGGCGGGAGGTTCACTTGTGAGAGTAGCCTGGCGGCTGGCAATGGGTGATGTGGGGATAGGGGGATTTGAGTACGAGCCCAAGCTAGCAGTCGACGCCCCCGTGTGCTGGGGCTTGAATGATGGCGCAGGTGGTGGTGTGCTTGTCGATGTGGGAGGAGGGAACGCCGGGCCAAAGACATCGTCAAAAGACTTATCGCCGCTGAATGGCTTGGCTGGCGGCGGCGAGGTGAAGATACCCATAATGTCAGTACTTCCTGTTCTACGGAAAAAGGGATTGTTTCCGCTCGCGGTTGAGGGCGCAGGGCTTGCGACTTGAGCAGACGTTGCCACTGGGGAGCTGGTGTTGATTTGTCGAGACAAGTCCTCGTTGCTCCTGGAAAGATCAGCGACTTCTGACTGAAGCTTGTCGCGCTCACCCTCGTTCGTAATCAGTTGTTTCTTGTTTATAGCGACGAGTCCTTTCTGCTGTCGAGCTTCAGATTTGAGCTTCTCAATCTGAGGCTTCAGCTGGGCGATCTCAGCGTTGATGGCGCGGATCTTCTCCTTGAGATTGGCGTTCTCTTGCTGGTCAGCCTGGAATCCAGCCAAAACTTGCTGGTGCTGGTTCTGCAGGTCTCTGTAAGTCCCGTCCAGCGTCATACACTCGGCTTGGAGCTTCTTTGTTTCGTTTCTCGACGTGTTGAGCTGCACCTGCAACGCCTCCACGTCCTTTGCTTCTTTCTCGTACATTGTGCGAAGTTGAGCCAGCCGTTGCTCGAAATTCTTCTTCTGCGAATTGGCTTGGTTGAGATCATTCTGTGTGGAGGTACGCTGGCCCTGAACCTCCTGCATTTGCTTAGAAAGCGAGCCGACCTGATTTGACAGATTCGCCAATTCAGCAGTTTCATTCGTCAGCTTTTTGCTGACTTCAGGGTCACCATCGCCGAGAAGATCCTCAGCTGCGGACACAGCGGCGGGCTTGCCAGAATTCGAGTCTCCTGTAGGCTGCGCTGTGAGGCCGCGGCCAAAAGAAGAGGACGGCACAAAAGGCTTGAACTGGTTGCCAGTGGGAGAGGGCCGGATGGGGGAAGATGGGGCCAGAACTGCCGAACCAGACCCAAATGGGTCATTAGCTGTTGATCCGCCAGTTGAAAGGGCGACTTGAGCGGGTGCCGGAGCGGGCGGGGTGTCTAGGCCAAACAAGTCATCAAGGGCAGATTTCGGAGGAGCCGGGGCCGGCGCCGGCGCCGGCGCTGGGGCTGGTGGTTGGGGCTGGGCCTGAGGCGGCGCGTCAAATGGCGAGCCTGACGTTGTAGGTCGCGGCTGTGTTCGGAAGCTGGGAGGAATCAAGTTAGCAGGAAGCGCTGTTGGCAGAGCAGTCGAGCCATCTCGTCTGATCCTTTGCTGGCGGATCAGATACATCGCGACTGCAAAAGTATCCCGGTTCAGTCGACCCTCTGAGTTGATGTCTGAGAGATCCCAGATCTGGGCCAGTGCATCCTCTGGGAGATTGGATTGGCTTAGAAAGGGGACAGCCTCTTCGCCGGTGATGAAGCCCTTTTGAGACTTGTCAAGGTCATTGTAAAGTGCGTCAAATCGGGCCTTGTCAGCCGAAGTGATCAGCCAGTCGCTTCCCGGAGTACCAGTCGTCTGGGCAGTAATCGGTGGGCGTCCAAGAGGACTGCCTGCGCGAAACTGGGCCGAACCACTCATTTGCCGGGGGATTGCAGATATTGGTCCGGTGCCCGTAGGCGACTGACGAGGCGCGGCAGGTCCACGACGGGTCGCAGCTTCGTAGAGGGCGGCGGGAAGAATATTGGGAAGACCTCTTAGCGCGCCGGTCTTCATAGACGTGAGCAAATGCATAGCAATTACAAATTCTGTCAGAACCAAGGCCCCGCGCTGCTCGGTATCGGCCAACTGCCAGATTCTACCCAAAACCTCGTTCGGCAGGCCCGACTTTTCAAATATAGATTTGGCCTGGTCACCGGGAAGCAGGTTGCCAGCTTGAAGCGGCTGACGCTCGAACAAGCCGGCATACTGATTGACCTTCTCAGGGGTCAAAGGGGGGATTCGGATGGGGCCTCCTCCGGTGCCTTGCGCCTGAAGAGCAGCAGCGGCAGGGGGAGGAGTCGTAGATGTAAGAGGACCTGCGGGAGGGGGCAAGCCATCGAAGCGCGGTAGTGGTCCCTGCTGTAGGGCCAACTCTGGCGTCGGTTCTCTTCCAGCCTGGGCGTGACCAATGAGCCGCAGCACCAGACCGAAGCCGGCAGGAGTTAGGAAGCCTCGGTTTTCCTTGTCTGCGATCTGCCATATCTATCGTATGTGTCGTTAGCCACTTGCGCTGGATTCGGGCAGTAGCGAGCAGCAAGTATCAATCGTCCCTCACCTCTCCCAGTATTCTCGAATCGAGTCTTGTCTTCTCGAAGAACTTCACTGCCGTCTCTCCGGTGACAACACCGACGCTGTCCGAGTCAGCCTGGCGAAAGAGTTGACCGTACAGGCGCTTCTCTTCGGCGTTGAGATTTAAATTCGGCACAGCTGTTAGACAATTGTCGTCAGCATCTAGCTATCACTCATTGCCGCGCAACGCGCTGTCACCATCGAAAGAGTCCACTTACCCGCATCGACGCCGTCAGCAGACATGATGGCGGCGTGGAACTCCTGCCTCGGGGTGGTACTAGCAATCAAGACGGGCTGTTTCCAAGTGTATCTAGAGGTGATGGAAGTTGTTCGTTGGTTCAATACGGCGGCCTCCGGGGGGCTGGGGTGAAAGAAGCGTGAGTCTGAC